CGCAGGGAAGCAGCGCCCCCGCCCTCCTCCTCTCACCGGCCCTCACTCGCACCCTCGCGCTCGGGATGTCGAGGGACCAGGAACGAGACGGATCGGACCACCGCAACGGCGACGAGGACGATGATTTCGACGAAGATGCCATCCTCGCCAACCTGTCGCCTGAGCAGCTGCAGCAGCTCGCCGAGGAAGTGGCCGCAAACGACGAGGAGCAGGAGGAGCAGGAGGAGGAGGAAGAGGCCACAGGAAGTACCGACGACGATGACGACGGTGACGGCGACAACGGGAAAGAGTTTGACGAAGACGAAATCCTCTCGGCGTTGTCCAAGGATCAGCTGCGGGAGCTGGAGAGGGACCTGGACGACATCCAGCCGGACGTCTCCCTGCCCGTTGGCATGCGGCAGAAGGACCAGACAGAGAAGATAGCGACCGGCTCCTACAGCCACCACTCGCTCATCGACTACATGCAGAAGCAGAAGAAGCTGGTGGATCTCGAGAGGATTCCAGAGCCTCTGGTCAACGGACAGGTGAGAGGAGAGAGAGTAAGAGGGCGTTAACGCTGTCAAACTTGACACTGACTCCCACCGACCAGCCGGACGTTTTAATTCTCTTCTTTTGGGGTGATGGAGAGGGTTTAATTTTTTTGTTTTTAGCGGATCAATTGGGAAAAGAAAGGACACATCCCGAGTGGGAACAGAGCCCCCACGAGAGGCAGACCCAAACAGGGGCCCTCGGTGCAGTCCAACTGAGCACTTGCTGAGCGTCAGGAGACTCAGAACCTTCAGGAAAATTAAAAATAATTACGCGACGAAAATAAAGCGTTGAACGTGGCAGGATGATTTTTTTTTTTGCGTGTGAAAAAAAACGCCGATACACGCATAAACAAAGATGTACGTATAAATCTTGACTTAAAGCTTTCGTGACTGCAGGAATCCATATTCTTTGGGTCTTTCGGTAAAGTCACATAGATGGGATCAAATAAAATCACAAAAAATAACAAAAAACTACGACGTTTCGATCGCAACACAAGCGTTCGCCATCTTCCCGATGACGAACGATGACAAACGCTGTGTTGTAGTTTTTTGTTATTTTTTTTGCTATTTTCTTTGAACCTATCTACGTGGCATTACCGAAAGACCCAAATAATAAGATGTACGCGTGTCGAACTTCTTTCGCAGAAGGAAGTTCAACATCGGAGTTGCGATGGAAGGACAACAAACTAAAGCGATGAGTTTACAATCGAAATTATTTCAAAGTGCGTCGCTCCAGTGGTGTCCTAACATCGTAAGGGAGAGCATTCCCGACGGCCACAGAAGCACATCCGACAGCACGCGGTGATGGGGTGACCCCCGTCTTCCTTCGAGGTTGTCGAGGAGCCGTGCCTGTGAGGCCACTTTCTGTCGCATCTGGGAGAGCCTTTGAGATTTGCTGCTCGTGGCTCGTCAGTGACGGAAGTTGCCAGCAGCAATGTTACCCAGTCGCAAACATTATCGCTGGTAACTTCTTCCATTGACAACGTTCCCAGTGCAAATCCTCTCGCGTGCACCGCGAGACGGTACCGTGGGTCTTCTCTGTGGCACTCCAGTTCCACCCCTCCAAAAAGGCAGAGATCCCCCGCGTAGCCTTCAACAGACTATTGGGGCAAGTGCTGTTAGCGAGTAGCACCCTATGGAAGGCCGCCACGGCACCCGAGACGGTCCCGTTGTCAGCATCACACACAAGCCAGCACAAACAAGCACAAAGACAAGCAGGCACACACAAACACACACACAAACATACATACAAACCAACACAAACAAGCACAAAGACAAGCAGGCACACACAAATACATACAAACACACATACAAACACACAAACATACACACAAACATACACAAACACACACAAATACACACAAACAAACACACAAACATACCGACATACAAACATACACAAACACCCACACAAATGCACAAACACCCATACACAAACACACAAATACACACAAACACACAAACACACAAACATACATACATACAAACATACACAAACACCCACACAAATGCACAAACACCCACACACAAACACACAAATACACACACATACAAACACACAAACAAACACACGCAAATATTTTCTATTTAAAGCTATGACGCTGTCTTTTCGACAGCCCTGTTCTTCACCTGAGGACGGCTGCTTGCGTTGTGGCCGAAACGTCGTGAGAATTTTATTTTATTATGTTTTATTTTATTATTTCCCTTCTACGTGACTTTACCGAAATAACCAAGAAGACACACAAACATACCGACATACATACAAACATACACAAACACCCACACAAATGCACAAACACCCACACAAACACCCACACACAAACACCCACACACAAACATACAAACACACGTGGAGGGGATTCTCCACTCGGGCTCGCCGACTGACCCATGGAGACCCTCCCAGATCTTTCGGCCGGCCGACGGCCAACGATCGGAGTTCAAAACTTTAAAATGCTGCCTCTGCTGCCGCCAGAGCATTCCCGGCTCTCGTTCAATCACGGGGAGGCTGTCGTGTTTAGTTTTGGTGAAGGTAGTCAACAACACGGCCTCGTTACTGAGCAGTGTATCTGCGAGATGTTTGTGCCCAGTTCCTCTCCAGGGGAGCTCGGGGGAGGGTGTGTGTGGGGGGAAGGCCATCTGAGTGGAATGGAAAGTGACAGGGGGGGGGGCAGACTACACCCCACCCCCACCACCACCCCCCCCCCCCGGACCCACCATCTCCCCACCCCAGGATTTTCCAGTGGCTACCCACCTCAAAACTATTCAAACTATTTATTTTTATTTTGCTACGTAAGGCCCCCGACTGAGCTGCGTGACTATTTTCCAGAAGCGACCGCCGCTGTCACGAATCAGAAAGCTGCTCAACGAAGTGGCTTATCACGTGGGAATTCATGGCAGCCAAACACTCTAAAGGCGTGTTTCTACAGACCCATAGAAACCCATAGAGACCCACAGAGATCCAGAGAATAATTTAGAAACATAGAGACACGTAGAGGGACTCACATACTCAGTGTTCCAATGTCGATCCTAAAGCAACGCGTTGCAAATTTTATTTTTTGGAGCTAAAAATATAGATTTCTTAAAAGAAGCCAACAGCAAGTGAGAGTTCATCTTCTTGGTTCTTTTGGTAAAGTCACGTAGAAGGGAAATAATAAAATAATAAAAATAAAACATAATAAAATTAAATACAATTCTCACGACGTTTCGGCCACAACGCAAGCAGCCGTCCTCAGGTGACCGAAACGTCGTGAAAATTATTGTAATATGTTTTACTTTTATTATTTTATTATTTCCCTTCTACGTGACTTTACCGAAAGAACCAAGAAGATGAATCCCTGCAGTCACGAAAGCTTTAAATCGAAATTCAAGTGAGAGTTATTTCCCGGCTCAAATGAAGCCGAAATGCTCATCTCCCCGCTTACAGCCCCTGCAGGCCTGTTAACTCCATCGACAAACAAACCCAAAGTCTTTTATTCTTACACTTTGCGCTCATCTTGCTCCTCATTCATTCTCACCGGCCGAATCGGTTGACGATCAAAGAGCGGCGCCGTTTGTTGCTGGCCGCTTGGCGTTTTCGGTGCCCGCGAGCGATCCGGGAACGAATTGAGAGCGAAGAGAAATTCGTGTCGCAGATTCACGGCCGGAGGGGGGTGGGCGAGGTCTGTCAGTGACAGGAAGGATTATACGGAATCAGATAATTTTGTTACCCTGGAGGAATCGCATGAGCTATACAAGTATAACCCGTAAAAACAAAGTTTTTCACTATAAATCCTTTATATGCGTGGCGGCTAGAGTCCTCTCGTCCTCTGGCTTGAGATGGCTGCCACCTATGGGTCAGATGATTGCATTGCAGCATTAAGCAATTGGTAATTAAATATAATTTTTTTGTCCTAAAAAGTGTAAAATTTTGGAACAAAAAATGTCACGAGCATAAATTGTCACGCACAACGAGTCTGTGTGGAAAATGTCATCTCGATTGGATCACGGGAAGTGGGTTAAAAAACGACCGAAAGATTTGCACGGTCGTAAGCGCGCAAGCAAGCAAGCAAGTGAACTTAATATAAGGATTTAAAAAGAGCTTCATCACAGACGCCCACTTCAAACGTTGGAGCGATCAAAGGCCAAAGAATTCGGGAATCGGATATCCAACATCCACGTGTATGTATGCACGCATTTTTATTAACCGTGTGGAAAGCGGTGGCGTCGTGGTTAGCGCTGCGCTACGAACCCGGCGACCCGAGTTCAATTCTCAACACCAGTGATGATTATCTGAACCGGCCCTGGGCATCAACTAGGTCGACACAGCCTCTCATCGCCACTGGGAAGACAAAGGTGGACGGGCGTAGTGCTGGCCACCCACCCGCTCGTGTGCCATGCCGGCCTTCGTAGGTGCTCGCTAACAGCACTTGTCCCAATAGTCTGTTGAGGTTATGCGGGGGATTTTTGTATTAACCATCATACATTCGCAGTCAGGTTGCTTGTCGATATAAACGGGGGTAGAGCTTTGCACGTCAACGTTTAAAATCATTTTAATAGCATTTTATTATTATTATTAAAGTATGTATTTTTCACGAGAGTTGTTGCAAAAGCCGAATTCCCCCCCCCCCACCTCCTCCCCCGTTTCGTTCCCTCCGCAGAACAAAAACGGTGACGGCAAAATCGATTCCCGGCGACCGCTGGCGGAAGACGAGGAAGCGGTCGACGCGGAGAAGAGCAGCGGCCGCGCGGCCGAGAACGGCACGGCCGAGCGGGCGGCTCGCGCGGAGGGGCCTCCCGGCCACGTCGCCGGGAAGCCCCGCGAACGTTCGTCCGAGAGTTCCGACTCGGGCGGCGAGGAGCGCGAGAGGAGCGCGCCGGTAGAGTCCTTCGCCCGCGGCGAGAGCCGTTCGGCGGCGGGAGGAGAATCGGCGTCGACGGCGAACGGCGTCGGCGTTCCGAACGGACGCGGCTCCGTCACGCCTCCCCAGGAGGGCTCGAGTGAACCTGCCGGCGCCACCGCCGCTGACAACGCAGATAACCCCACTGGTGAACAGAAGCAAGGCGATGGTGATGGCGGTGGCGACGACGACGCCGAGTCATTCAAACCGAAAGAGCCTCTCAAGCTCCCCGGAGCGTTGGCCAACAGCCTGAAGGATCAGCTCGCGGCCAAGTTTGGGGCCCTTCAGAAGGGGCCCATGGGCAAGGGGCCACTGGGCAAAGGGCCTGCGGCGAAGGGACCCGGCCGTCTGTCGGGAAACCCGACGATCGTGGACGACGCCCTCAGGGGGGTCCAGAACAACGACCCCGAGCTGACGGAGGTCAACCTCAACAACATCGAGAACGTCCCCATGGAGACGCTGGTGCAGTTCGCCGAGGCGCTCAAGAAGAACAAGCACGTGAAGGTGTTCAGCATCGCCAACACGCACTCGGACGACAACGTGGCGTACGCCATCGCCAACATGCTGCGTGCCAACCGCAGCATCGACAAGCTCAACCTGGAGTCCAACTTCATCTCGGGCCGGGGCATCGTGGCCATCATGCGCTGCCTGCAGTTCAACGAGGCCCTGCTGGAGCTGCGCTTCCACAACCAGCGGCACATCCTGGGCACGCAGGCCGAGATGGAGATCTCGCGCCTGCTCAAGGCAAACAACACCCTGCTCAAGATGGGCTACCACTTCGAGCTGCCGGGCCCGCGCATGATCGTCACCAACCTGCTGACGCGCAACCTCGACCGCCAGCGGCAGCAGCGGCTCATGGAGCAGCGCATCCAGGAGGAGCAGCAGCAGATCAGGAGGATGCTGGCGGCGGGCCTGGCCGAGATGGGCGAGGAGGGCAAGGAGGGCCACTATGACGAGGAGGAGGAGGGCGAGGAGGAGGAGGAGGGCTGGACGGACGGGCTCGCCGCGTCTCCGCGACACAAGGTCCTCCGTGGCTCCCAGTCGCTTCCGGCGTCGCCGCCGGCGCCGAGGTCTCCGCGGCCGCCCGGCTCGCCGGTCCCGGCCGACGGCAGGAAACCGAGGAGCGTCGGCCGGACGCAGGCCGAGTCGCACAGATCGTCGTCGGCCAGCGGCGAGGACGCGATGGGCGGCGGCCGCCGCGGCGGCGAAGGCGGCGGGTGGAACATGCAGGGGGTGCTGTCGCAGGAGGAGACCGGCGCCACGGGGGGTCCCAGGCTGAAGAAGAGGCCCGAGGGCGAGAAGGATTCGTCGTCGAAGGCCCAGTCGCGCTTTCTGCTCAAGCGCGAGCAGCACGACTTCCGGCACGTGCTGCAGCCCACGCGGAAGCGGAAGGTGAAGCAGAACCCCAAGCCCAAGGAGAACTGCATCCACGAGGACCTCATGTCGGAGATTCGGACGACGAACGTCGCCATGCTGAAGATGGTAAGGGCCCGCCGCGTGCTCGCGAGAGAATTGCGTGCGGTCGCGCCGTTCGCTTGTCCCCTCTCGCTCTCTCCGTGTGTGCGTCTGCCCCGTAGAGTGGGCCGCGATCCCCTCGTACGTTCACCGCGTTATGTCCGATTCTCGTCACGAGACCGCTCGTCATAGAGACAGGTTGTGCGGTTGAACATCTTTCGCACCGTACGTAGCCAACCGTGCTAATCGGAGGTGACCGCCTTTGTTCGATGGCGAGCCAGAAGCCCGCTGCGAGCACGACCGGAATTTGGCGTGAAACGAGGTAACGGTTGGCGCGGACACCGCGACACCATGGGGAGGCGCGACGGTGTTCACGTTGATGATGATGCTGATGATGATGCTCTCTCAGGCAAACCTCCTCAGCCCTCCGCACGCCAGCAGAGCCGCCCGGATGGAGAGTGGAGGGGGGATGATGGTGGAAAATAGTGACCCAGGGCCTCACACAACAGAGGGCCTCACAACGACCCTCTTAATGGCCGCTAATGAGTAGGGGGCCAGATCCACAAACAAACACTGGCTTGAGTTCATGATATTCCCCCGCACCTCCGATTAGCACGGTTAGGCTACGTACGGTGCGAAAGAAGTTCAATGTACGTACGTACGTATGGTCAGCGCGCTGATCCGGGCGTGGAAGTTGAACCAACGGTGAGCGAGTTCCATAACTCCGCTCACCGCTGTCCACCGGCGTTAATAGGTGCACCGTAGTTAGTTGGGCGAGCCACGGTGGCTCGGAGATGTTAACTACCTCGCCTGGTATGCAGGAGGTCGTGGGTTTGATCCCGACCCTGACGCCTGCTGCTGTATATTTGGAGTTTGCGTGTCTCTCCCCGCGCGTGGATTTTTCTCCGGGTTCTCCGGTTTTTCCCTCCGCAATATTTGGCTGCTATAAATGACCACGTGATAAGCCACTTCATTGGGTTAACATTTGCGATAGCCAGGTCGCTCAAAAGAGCCATATATCTCAGTGGGGCCTTACCGTGGTTTTTGTGGATTTTTCTCCGGGCCCTCGGAGTTTTCCCTCCACATTTAGAATCAAACATCGCGCGTTTAGAGTAATTCGGCTGCTATACACTTCCACACGATGGTGACGATCATGAGCCACTTTGCTGAGCTATTGGAGTCACCGGCAACGACACCATCTGCTCGTGTCTGTCGCGTTTCCCTCCCCGGCTCTCGCCCCCTGTGTGTGTTCGACGAGAGGCTGTGTCCAGCATTGCCTGCCTCGACCCGGGGGGGTGTGGGGTGGGGGGGGTGGTGTCGGCGAACCAAAATAACAAGAAGAGATTAAACGACAAAAATTCGGTAAAAAAAAGTAAAAAAGCAAGCTCAATATTCCGAGAGCCGCAACAATGCTGCGCTGTGGTGGTGAGTACGAGACGGCGGGTCCGAAATGAGTCACGAAGCAGCAGTCCCTTCTTAGAGCAGGGGTCACCAACCCCCGGGCCGTCGACCGGTACCGGTCACGTGTCCTGTTAGGAACCGGGCCGCACAGCAGCAAGAGGTGAGAGCGGTGAGTCCGCGCGTGGCCCGCCCCCATTATTTTATTATTCACCACTTCCGTCCACGCCTCGTTCCCTGCACTACGCACTTGTCTCAGTCACAGTGTTGGTAAGCCCACAAGCTGCTAACCCCTAGTAGCCACAATGAGTAAAAAAAACAAACGTCGCTGGAGAGCTTCTTTGAAAAGGGGGAAGACCCAATAATGACCGCCCCCCACCCCCCGGTCCGTGAAAAATTGTCTTCCACGAAACCGGTCCCTGGTACCGAAAAGGTTGTGGACCGCTGCCTTAGAGAGCCGCGGTCTGCCCACCCCATGGGCTCGACTGAAGCCAGGATCGCACCTGGGCGAGTAGTTGCACACGGTTGCGCAACTGTTCGCAACCGGTTGCAGACGTCCACGTGGTTAGAGATTGGGGAAATAAAAAGAACAACTCAACGCATCCGTCGATGCCACTGTGCGCTGTGAAGAAGGGCCATTGCCCGAAACGTCGTTGGCGTTAACTGTGCTTGCACACCGCTGCCAACGAGGCAGCAGTAGTGGAAATAATAGTGAATCTCGATGTAAAGCTTTCGTGACTGCAGGGATTCATCTTCTTGGTTCTTTCGGTAAAGTCACGTAGAAGGGAAGTAATACAATAATAAAAATAAAACATAATAAAATAATTCTCACGACGTTTCGGCTACAACGCAAGCAGCCGTCTTCAGGTGAAGAATGAGACACTGACAAGCTTGGAGCTTATATATAAGCTGGGTTGGAGGTGGAAGAAGAGCACCTTAACAAAAGAATGTGCATATCAAGAGGAATTTAGCATATTCATGGGAAATGCGTAGGAGGTGGGCGGGGGGGGGGTTCAAAGTCATATTATGCCCATGCATTATGCAGGATCAGCAGCCGAAACGTCGTGAGAATTATTTTATTATGTTTTATTTTTATTATTTTATTACTTCCCTTCTACGTGACTTTACCGAAAGAACCAAGAAGATAATAGTGAATCGTTTGTTGCGCGTGCAACCAAGGTGCGCAAATGATTTCCCAGGTGTGGACCCAGGTATAGAATTAGAAGGGAGCAGAGCCTCCAGCAACGAGGGGCTCAGCCAATCCCCCACACCCCCCCGCCGTCCCCGATGTTACAGGGCTGGCATGTGTGTGTGTGCGTGCGTGTGTGTAGCGGTTAGCGCTACGCTGCGCTATGAACCTGGCGACACGGGTTCGATTCCCGCTCACGGCCAACACCAGTGACGATTATCAGAACCGGTCCCGGGCCTCGCCTAGGTCGACTCAGCCTCAAATGAGTACCTGGTGCGGTGTGTAAACATTGCCACTCGGGAGACAAAGGCGGTCTGGCGTGGTGCTGGCCACCCACCTCCACGTGTACCGTTCCGGCCTTCATAGGTGCTCACTAACAGCACTTGCCCCTACAGTCTGTTAAGGCTATATGGGGGATCTTTGTCTTTGTTTGTGTGTGTATGCACGCATGCGTTTTTAAATCCTTTATATTAAGTTCATTTGCTTGCTTGCTTGCGCGCTTACGACCGTGCAAATCTTTCGGTCGTTTTTTAACCCACTTCCCGTGATCCAATCGAGCTGACATTTTCCACACAGACTCGTTGTGCGTGACAATTTCTTTTCGTGAAAATTTTTTTCCAAAATTTTACACTTTTTAGGACAAAAAAATTATATTTAATTACCAATTGCTTAATGGTGGCAGGCAATCATCTGACCCATAGGTGGCAGCCATCTCAAGCCAGAGGACGAGAGGACTCTAGCCGCCACGCATATAAAGGATTTATAGTGAAAAACTTTGTTTTTACGGGTTAATTTTTTCTCCCACCTGCGTTCGCAGCTTCCCAACCTAATGCTCCTCGTTACGTCGGTGCACGCTTCACACGCCCATTCAACTCCGGTCTGCGTTACAATGACGAACCCAATGACGCCACCCCACGGGGCTCGTGCGTGCCGCTGAACGGTCGTTTCTCACCGCGCGCGCCACCACCGACGAGGGACGCCGCGTTTGGATTTCTCGCGAGAGAAACAAAGAAACGCGCGGTGTGTGTGTGACCACCGCGTGCGATGTGTGCGCTTGTGCGTTTGTTTGTTTGTTTTTTGCACGAACGATTAACGACCTGCTTTCTCTTTTCCAGACCCCGAAATCGATGGAACAATTGAAGGAGGAGTATCTGAAGTAGCGAAGACGTGGAATGAAAGTCCCCAACTCTTTAACTTTCGCGAACATTTCGGAGACGCCGCGCCGCGACACCCTGCGGAGGCAACGGTGTTCACTCTGATGCCCTCTCACGTGACCTGCTTAGCGCTCCGCACGCCAACGGAGCCGCCCGGATGTAGAGTGGGGGGTGTGTGGGGTGGTGGTGGTGGCAAAAAAAACATAGGACGTGTAGCGGTTCTGGGTAGCGGTTAGCGCGCTGCGTTATGAACCTGGCGACCCGGGTTCGATTCCCGCTCACGGCCAACACCAGTGACGATTATCTGAACCGGTCCTGGGCCTCTCCTAGGTCGACTCAGCCTTAAATGAGTCGCTAGTGCGGTGTGTAAATATCGTCACTGGCGAGACAAAGGCGGCCGGGCGTGGTGTTGGCCACCCATCCCCTCGTATGCCGTGCCGGCTTTTATAGGTGCTCGCTAACAGCACTTGCCCCAATAGTCTGTTAAGGCTATACGGGGGATCTTTGTTTTGGTGGCAAAAGTGATCCGGGGCCTCACACAAAAGAGGGTCCCACAACGGCCCTCTTAATATGTTTTGGCACGAATGGGTCAAAGGGCCGGATCCACGTGGCCGTCCAAACTAAACTAATTTATTTTACCAGGTAAGTCTCCCACTAAGCTATATGGCTGTCTTCAGCGACCTGGCCATCGCAAATGATAACCCAACGAAGTGGCTTATCACGTGGTCATTTATAGCAGCCAAAAATTGTGGAGGAAAAAAAACGGAGAACTCGGAGAAAAATCCACGCGACCGCGGGGAGAGAGACACGCAAACTCCAAATATACAGCAGCAGGCGTCACGGTCGGGATCGAACCCACAAACAGGCGAGGTAGTTACAATTTCGCCCACTGCCAGGGACCTCTCTTGGGTGGCCCTGAACACCAACTGGCTGCCGCCAAATGTGTTGGCCGTGTTGCATATAGGGTCAGAAGAAAATGTAAAATCTGCATTTCTGAGAAATTCGGCAAGAGGGGATAGCTGCGTGTGCATTCCTCGTCTTGAGCGGTGCATCATCGTTGTTGTCAACATTCTTACACGGCACACGGGGGGAAGACTTCACAGGACAGCAGCTGCCTCAACAAGAGCATGATCCTAGGGAGACACCACGAAGCTAAGGCAACCCGAGTTAGAATGTTCGTGGACATCATCGCTCCAAATCAAGCGAGCTTGTACCTCTTCTTTAGTTCTTTCGGTAAATTTCGATTTAAAGCTTTCGTGACTGCAGGGATTCATCTTCTTGGTTCTTTCGGTAAAGTCACGTAGAAGGGAAGTAATAAAATAATAAAAATAAAACATAATAAAACAATTCTCACGACGTTTCGGCCACAACGCAAGCAGCCGTCCTCAGGTGAAAACCAGGTCCGTCGAGGCGACAGAGTCTGAATGAAACAGCACACGAGCTTGGAGCATATATATAAGCTGGGCGCATTGACAAAGGAATTTGATATGCAAATTCCTTTGTCAATGCGCCCAGCTTATATATATGCTCCAAGCTCGTGTGCTGTTTCATTCAGACTCTGTCGCCTCGACGGACCTGGTTTTCACCTGAGGACGGCTGCTTGCGTTGTGGCCGAAACGTCGTGAGAATTGTTTTATTATGTTTTATTTTTATTATTTTATTACTTCCCTTCTACGTGACTTTACCGAAAGAACCAAGAAGATTCTTTCGGTAAAGTCACGTAGAAGGGAAATAATAAAATAATAAAAATAAAACATAATAAAATAAAACTCTGTCTTCTCGACAGACCTGCTTATCACCTGGGGATGGCTGCTTGCGTTGTGGCCGAAACGTCGTGAGAATTATTTCATGACCGAAAGAACCAAGAAGATGAATCCCTGCGGTCACGAAAGCTTTAAATCGAGCTTGTACCTGTTCACACGGCTACTGTTAGCCGACTTTTTTGTTTACGATTGGACCCAGACATCCGCTTAGTTGCTCCCACCTCCTGACATTCACAATGTTGCCATCGCCGCCACCAAACACCAACCTGCCCCTGACCCACTGCCGCTACCCCCTCTGGGCTAAACGTAAGCAGCTAAAAGTGGCCGTTGTGTTTTTTTTTGTTTCATTATAATTATACTCTTTGGGTCTTTCGGTTAAAGTCACCTAGATAGAATTATTTTTTTTAATCACGACGTTTCGATCGCAACACAAGCAATCGTCTTCAGGTGAAAAAACACAGCAGGAGAACTGCTGAGGCAGGAGATAATTTGATTGAAATGATCACAATTTATCATGATCACAGTTTTGGGATTTACCACCAGTGACGTAGCCTCGGTGGAATTGAATTAAGTGAGCCCCCCCCCACCACCTCTGCTGTGTACGTATGTATGTTGAACTTCTTTCGCACCGTACGTAGGCAACCGTGCTAATCGGAGGTTTGCATCTTCAATGTCCCAGTGCCCCACGTGTTCTGCCACTGATCACTAAGCATCACCTCCCTCGCAATGTCTTTGAAGGCCCCGACAACGTGTTTACACTTTGACCCCCAGGGTACGATGGCGAGATGTTAACTACCTCGCCTGGTATACAGGAAGTTGTGGGTTAGATCTCGACCCTGATGCCTGTATATTTAGAGTTTGTGTGTTCTCTGTACTTGTGATTGCGTGGATTTTTCTCCCGGTCCACCGGCTTTTCCCTCTACATGTGGAATCAACATGCGATTGGAGTTATTTGGCTGCTATAAGCTTCCACATGATGATGATGAGCCACTTCCTTGAGCTATCATTTGTGATCGCCAGGTCGTTTCCGAAAAAGAACTGCAACACAGCTCAGTGGCGCCTTACCTCGTCAAATAAAACAAGTGTTTTTTTTTATTTAAAGCTTTCGTGACTGCAGGGATTCATATTCTTGGTTCTTTCGGTAAAGTCACGTAGAAGGGAAATAATAAAATAATACAAATATAAAAAATACTAATTCTCACGACGTTTCGACTGCAACACAAGCAATCATCATCAGTTGTGAAATCCACAGCAAGAAAAAAAATCCTGTGAAATCCACAGCAAGAAAATGTTCTTGCTGTGGATTTCACACCTGATAATGATTGCTTGTGTTGCAGTCGAAACGTCGTAAGAATTTTTATTTTTTTATATTTGTATTATTTTATTATTTCCCTTCTACGTGACTTTACCGAAAGAACCAAGAAAATAAAACAATTAGTTGAGTTTAGTTTAGGAAACCGGGCCACTTGCTTCACGTTCAATGGCATCGATGGTTGGCACGGGCCCTGTAATGAGTAAGCATGGGGTTCACCACCACCGGCGTAGCCTGATTGGCATGGGCCCCGGGGCAAGGGATTACCTGGGATCTGCATTCTGTCGAATTTATTACCCACCCAGCCCTCCGATCTACGTCGGCCGGCTCATGGGCCGCTCCGGCCCGGGGAAAGCTGGCGCAGTTGCACCGCCTGCACACTCGATAGCTACTCTCGCTGATGTTGTAGTAGTAGTAGCAGTATGATAATAGTGTGTGTGTTGTGTGTGTTTTTTTTGTACTAAATGTGACTGGTAGATGCGTGTTGGTCAGCCAATGCGCTTCGGATATCATACAATGACTGCGGATGTATTTGTTTGTTTGTTTTCGCTCTTCTCCCTGTTACACGTGAAAATGCGTTGTCGTAATTTAACAAACGAGGTCTGGCAGAAACACCGACAATAAATTTGCGGTATTCGGACGAAAAAAAAACTGATTGAATGACAGCTTTGCTTCCTTGCGACTGCGTTTGCCCAAGTCTGCACCGATGGATTTATCATTGAGGTACATCGATGACAATTTACAGCCCTTTGTCAATCCGCTGCTGGATGAAGGCCTGTCCATACGTTCCATTCATGGCGGTTGACTGACCATACTTCACCACGCCGGTCACTGTGAGTTGATGAATGGATAACCTGGCGGGTGAACCAGTCGTGATTTCACTCACTACTCATTCTGCCTGTGGCTGGGAATCGAATCCGGGCCACTGGGTCGATAATTAATTCAATGTGCTAACCACTGCGTCGCCACTGCTCCCCTATCATCTATGTAACACCGGTTAATGGATAAAGGTCTGAATTAAATATTTATATTTTGTAAAAATAAAAATTGGCAGAGCATGGAACGCGTCTAAATTTAGACTTTGTGAATGTGTTTATTCAGGGTAAGGGTCAAGAAGCTATTTCAACTCACGCAAGCTGCGTCTGATCATACTTTGAGCTGCCCCACGACGTCCGCTTGCTGCGATGATAATGCGACGCAATTTGGGCTCCAGCAGCAGCAGCATCTGAATAAAGAGTCGGGGCTGCCAACCCGCGCCTCTTTGGCGTGCAGAGTTACCTACCTAACGCTGCAGCTTGCGTTGGCAGTGGTGCACAAACAACAACAACAACAAACCTCAATACATTGCGTCAATAACGCTCGTTTAAATAGCTTTGCCCAGACTCCACGTCGTTGCACCAAGATGCCAACTTGGCCCGCGTCGCGGGTAGGGCATCCGTGTGCTGTCGGTCTCCGTTTTGCACCAAACGGCGGCTGCATTCAAAGGTGGCGACCCTATGGGTGGGTCGCGCTTGTGTAGCTGCTCGTGCAAAAAACACAAAAACCGGTCAAGCCAAAACGTTCCGTTGTGCGTGAGTCCTCGTGCAAGGGAACACCAGGTAAGTCCCTACTGAGCTACGCAGTTCTTTTTCAGAAGCGACCTGGCCACAAATGACAGCTCAAAATAAGTATAACCCGTAAAAACAAAGTTTTTCACTCTAAATCCTTTATATGCGTGGCGGCTAGAGTCCTCTCGTCCTCTGGCTTGAGATGGCTGCCACCTATGGGTCAGATGATTGTCTGCAGTATTAAACAATTGGTAATTAAATAATTAATTTGTTTTCCCTAAACAGTGTAAAATTTTGGAAAAACATTTTCACGAACATTAATTGTCACGCACAACGAGTCTGCGTGCAAAATGTCAGCTCGATTGGATCACGGGAAGTGGGTTAAAAAACGAAAGGTTTGCACGGTCGTAAGCAAGCAAGCAAGCACGCAAGCAAGCGAACTTAATATAAAGGATTTAAAAAGTGGCGTATCATAACGTGGGGCATTTACAGCAGCCAAACACTCGAAACGCGTGTCGTTCCTTAATGTGGAGGGAAAACCCGGAGGATCCAGAGACATATCCACGCGACCACGGGGAGAGAACATGCAAACTCCAAATATACAGCAGGCGTCGCGGTGGGCATCGAACCCACAACCTCCTGTATACCAGACGAGATAGTTAACATCTCCCAGCCACCGAGGCGCCCTAGTGTGGATACTTTTCACTTCTTCCAAGTAGTCTGGCGAACATGGAAGAGCAGACCAAAGTGCCTTCCAACACAATCTGGAGGGAGCTCTGGAAAGAGTTCCCTGTAATTGCGGGAAGCCCTTCCAGTAGCGGTGACACGAGCAAGGGCTGCACCTCCGCCTTGCTCTTAGGGGCCGTCCATAAATGACGTCACGCACCTAGGGGGGGGGGGGGTCAGACATTTGTGACGATGTGTGACGAGGGGGGGGGGTTAAAAATGTGACGTCGCAACAAAATGCCAACTTTAAATAAATATAGACAACACGTTCTACTTTCATTTTTATTTAAAGCTTTCGTGACTGCAGGGATTCACATTATTGGTTCTTTCGGTAAAGTCACGTAGAAGGAAATAATAAAATAATACAAATATTAAACAATAAAAATGCTCACGACGTTTCGACTGCAACACAAGCAATCATCATCAGGTGTGAAATCCACAGCAAGAAATTTTGAAAAAGTGGCAGTTTTCCTAACGTCAGCTGACGAAAGAACCAAGAATACGTTCTACTTAATTAAATAGACTTTTAATCAATGTTTTCTCCTACAACATCAGAGTGCAGCGGCACATTAAAAACGCACTGCAATGACAATAGTTTAAAGCAATTTGAAGCATTTTTTTTTTTTTTGGGGGGGGAGCAGAGCTTTGTGAGGTCATATTTGAGGGGGGAGGGTTCTGACTTTTTGTGACGCCGTGTGACGATTGGGGGGGGGGGGACGGTCAAAAATCGTCTAAAATCGCGTGACATCATTTACGAACGGCCCATTACTCCAGTTGGCTGATTCGAAAAAGCGCATTGGTCAGAGTTTCTCCGACGTGAGATCGCCAAGCGAGTTTGCAAGCCGCGTTCACGGGGCGTCAGATGGTTGCAGAGCTCTCTAAAGAGGGCGCTTTGAGACGTTCAAACTCAAATGCGCGCTCGAAAAAGCCCTCCCGCCACGTTGAACGGACGCATTTTTGATGCGCGCGAGAGCGAACCGGGCACGTGTTAATGTTTAAACGGCGCTATTTGCGATTTGCGCGCGGAGAGTGCAGAGAAAGAGAACAAGTATAACCCGTAAAAACAAAGTTTTTCACTCTAAATCCTTTATATGCGTGGCGGCTAGAGTCATCTCGTCCTCTGGCTTGAGATGGCTGCCACCTATGGGTCAGATGATTGCATTGCACCATTAAGCAATTGGTAATGAAATATTATATTATTGTCCTAAAAAGTGTAAAATTTTGAAAAAAAAAATTCACGAACATTAATTGTCACGCACAACGAGTCTGTGTGCAAAATGTCAGCTCGATTGGATCACGGGAAGTGGGTTAAAAAACGACCGAAAGATTTGCACGGTTGTAAGCAAGCAAGCGAACTTATTTTAAAGGATTTAAAAAGAAGGAAAGTCAATTGTGCGGCGGGTCGTTTGAACGAGGTCTTTACGTAATCGCGTCCTCGGCCTCTTCCCGCGCTGTTCAGAAAACGGGGAACGCGTGGTGTCTGCGTCGACGGCAATGCGGATACAACTTTGGCGGTGTGCTGGTGAACTCTGCGATGGAACGGAGAAGCCGTGAGACAGAGATCGCAAACGGGTTTTGATTCCTTACCCGTACCCATACCCGGCCGCACCAGGGTCGCAAATGGGTACCCGTTCCCTACCCGTACCCGTACCCTACCCGAAATGAGTGACAAACGGTTACTCACCAGTGACTCACGGCCTACCCGTACCCGGCCGCACTAGGGTCGCAAACGGGTACACGAACCCGTACCTGGCCGAGTACGGGTAGCCGGGTATCGGGTAGGGTACGGGTATCGGGTACCCGGTTGCGACCTCTGCCGTGAGAGCATCGTTTAACCTTTTAATTTGTTACCTCCCTCTGCCAGCCCCCTAACACCCCGCCGGCGGCCTCGCTCCCCCGTCAATCCTTGGACCGAGAGCCGCACTCAATGCGTCCAAGCAGGCCGACAACAAAAACGTCGCCCCTATCAGCAGGATTATCTTAACGTCGCTATCCGACCGCGGTGAACATTTGCTCGATCGGTCACCGCCTCGTGCGCTTTCGGATGCGCTTCTGCGGCCGTCTGGAACACTCCTCCTTCCGATAATAATAAAGATTTTAAACTAATTTATTCAAAACCGGCTTTTTGTAACATGGGACCGTTTTCATACTGCTTTTTGTGTTGATGTTGTTCTTCCACCTCACCTATGGTTAGCACGGTTGGCTACGTACGGTGCGAAAGAAGCTCAACATGTACGTACGGTGCGAAAGAAGTTCAACATACGTACATCGTTTGTTGTCCTTCCACCGCACCTCCAGTTAGCACGGTTGGCTACGTACGGCGCGAAAGAAGCTCAGCATACACGCATGTTGAACCTCTTTCGCACCGTACGTAGCCAACCGTGCTAATCGGAGGTGCGGTGGAAAGACAACAATCTACGTACGTGTATGTATGTTGAAATTCTTTCGCACCGTACGTAGCCACCCGTGGTTGTCACTCCATCGTTCGTCTCGACCGCCGGACGTCGTTCCTTCCAGAAAAGTTTCGTATCACTCCATCTTTACAAAAAAGAAAATTTACCCGTAAAAACAAAGTTTTTCACTATAAATCCTTTATATGCGTGGCGGCTAGAGTCCTCTCGTCCTCTGGCTTGAGATGGCTGCCACCTATGGGTCAGATAATTGCCTGCAACCATTAAGCAATTGGTAATTAAATATAATTAAAACAAATTTCCTAAAAAGTGTAAAATTTTGGAGAAAAAACATTTCACGAAAATAAATTGTCACGCACAACGAGTCTGTGTGCAAAATGTCAGCTCGATTGGATCACGGGAAGTGGGTTAAAAAGCGACCTAAAGATTTGCACGGTCGAAAGCGCGCAAGCAAGCAAGCAAGTGAACTTAATATAAAGGATTTAAAAACATCCCTCGATGTCCCACCATCACAGCTACAAGGAAGCACAAAACCGCTGCTTGGAATGTGGCCGCCCAATTTTGGAAGGGCACATGTCTGCGCCAGTTGTTGCCCGGAGGCAGTTGTTGGCCGAGAGCCGAAAACCGTCGCAGTTCACAACTTTGCATTGTGCCGGCTGTTGCAGCCATTATCCCATGGTCTAGAAATGATGTCACACGATGCAACAGCAAAGGTCCTCTATATAGCCTTAACAGACTGTAGGAGCAAGTGCTGTTAGCAAGCACCGATGAAGGCCGGCACGGCACACGAGGGAGTACGTGTATATACTTATGTACGTTCAACTTCTTTCGCACCGTACATAACCAACGGTGCTAATCAGAGCCGCGGTGGCCAGCACCGCGCCCAGCCTGTCTCCCTAGCGGCGATGTTTACACACCGCACCAGGTACTCATTTGAGGAGGCTGAGTCGACCTAGGGGAGGCCCAGAACCGGTTGAGATAATCGCCACCGGCGTTGGCCGTGAGCGGGGATCGAACTCGGGTGGCCGGGTTCGTCGCGCAGCGCGCTAAACGCTACCGTTCCCCACGTGTAGTGACAGCCCATCAGCCTACAAGAGGCTACTGCGCCTGGTAATTGTCATTTATCCCACACGGTATCCATGCCGTCGTCTACGCGACCGCTGTGTTGAGAAACCGCTGCTCCAGAGTGAACCCACCATCGAAAACACGACCCGTGTAGCTGCAGCGTCGTCGCACCGAGAATTCCGCACACGCGCACAAGACTGATGCCCTGTCTGTGATGTTCCATTCCGTGATGATGATGATGATGGGGCAGGTGGGGGGGTATAGCAGGAGGGGGACACGTCTCCTGTTTCTCCACTGGGGTGAGATGCCACGGGCAAGAAGACGGTGGTTGGGCTGTACGAGGTTGCTGATGATGTTATTGTCATCGGCCTCACAGTTGGTGTCAATGTTGCTTTCCTTGCGCTCGGGGAGGTTTAAAAATAGAAGCGCCACTCTTGGCGGCTGTCGGAGTCTCGGACTGTGACGCCTCTCAACCGCCCCCGGTATCTTTCTCACCGCTCAACCACGACGGCCAGAAATAGCGACTCTCTCATCAGGCGCATGCACACTGCTAGAACATTCCATGTGCTACTGCTGCCACGACTACGACTCCTGCTGCTGCTGCTGCTGCTTGCACGAGGGTTGTCGCTGTTGTGTTGCAATGATGACGTCGTCACCTTTCAATCCAGCCTCAGGTCCCGATGTGTTTTCTGGTTGTGCTCGGGACGAAGTCCGACGTTTCGGGCCACGTGCTCGGTTGCGGAGCTTTGCTTCTTCGGGAATCGTCGAATATATCTGGTACACGTGGTTAGAGCCAAGAAACATGGGTGGGATATCAACTGCGTTTGTCTAGAGCTGGGGTCGGCAACCTTTCTAAGAAGGAGGATAACCAACCATTCTTTAACCGCATCAGCCACTTGTACACAAACACAGCGGGTGTACAGCAGATGGCAATAACTACACACATTCTGACTTAAACACAACAGGTAATGGTATACACGGCGTATATTTAGCGTTTGTTCCCCATTAGTTGTTCTTTAACAACACCGTTTGTGACTGATGTACATGTTCTCACCAAGACATCCCGCAGTTGACCCCATTCCCTTCCATATTTGGTCAATTATCTCGACCTTAAATTATGTTTAAATTATACGTTTTTTAAAAACGGTTGCCCTTCAGGGGGCAGCCAAAAAGCCCCAGGTTGACCGACCTCTGGTCGAGAGAGAGTGGCACTCTGTCTGGGTCGATACTTCAAGACGTTAATCCACACACGCGCTAGGATATTAATAGCAGCGCCCTGGTTTACTGGGGATATACGCCTTGGTGAGGCTTAAGACTCATTTTCCAGGGGGGTTCTGCATTGGCATATTTGATTGTATTAATGAGTGGTTTGGCTTCATAGCTCCACGCGGGATTAAAACACTCAAAGGTCCGCACAGATGGATTCCAACCCCCTTGCTGTACTGCTGCCTCGCAAACCCAATGGGTTAAGGATTCATCCAACGAACCTTCACTTTAAAAGAGCTGTGCTTACAGTACTACACCAGCACACGTGTGTATCTGTGTGTGTGTGTCGGGAATGAGTACCTGGTGCGGTGTGTAAACTTTGCCACTGTGAAGACAAAGTTGTCCGGGCGTGGTGCTGGCCACCCACCCCCTCGCGTGCCGTGCCGGCCTTCATAGCTGCTCGATAGCAGCACTTGCCCCAAACGTCTACTAGGGCTACACGGGGGACCTTTTTATTTGTACACGATCATGGGGAGGGGGGGGGTGTAACGGTTAGTACACTGTGCTCCTCTTGACGAGCATCAGTGGCGAGTGATATCGGAGTCAGTTCCACGATGCGATGTTCAATAAGTATAACCCGTAAAAACAAAGTTTTTCACTCTAAATCCTTTATATGCGTGGCGGCTAGAGCCCTCTCGTCCTCTGGCTTGAGATGGCTGCCACCTATGGGTCAGATGATTGTCTGCCAGTATTAAGCAATTGGTAATTCAATATTTAATTTGTTTTCCCTAAACAGTGTAAAATTTTGGCAATATTTTTTTACGAAAATTAATTGTCACGCACAACGAGTCTGCGTGCAAAATGTCAGCTCGATTGGATCACGGGAAGTGGGTTAAATAAGTATAACCCATAAAAACAAAGTTTTTCACTATAAATCCTTTATATGCGTGGCGGTTAGAGTGCTCTCGTCCTCTGGCTTGAGATGGCTGCCACCTATGGGTCAGATGATTGTCTGCCAGTATTAAGCAATTGGTAATTAAATATTTAATTTGTTTTCCCTAAACAGTGTAACATTTAGGAATTTTTTCACGAAAATTATTTGTCACACACAACGAGTCTGTGTAGAAAATGTCAGCTCGATTGGATCACGGGAAGTGGGTTAAAAAACGACCGAAATATTTGCACGGTCGTAAGCAAGCAAGCAAGCACACAAGCACGCAAGCAAGCAAGCAATCGAACTTAATATAAAGGATTCAAGAAGAAGGGTTGTCGGGTGGGGCGTCAAACAGTGGGCAGCAGCGACACCGCAGTGCTGATTCTACCTTAGCCAAGCGGAAGCTTCGAGTCGCCAAACGGCTCCACGGGGTCACAGATTCGTGAACGCAAAAAAACAGGGGTGGATAAAAATATCAGCTCGAATTCAAATCGGGATTAACATAAACAGGACCCTGCGGGGTGGGCTGGTAGGAACGAATAACCAAAGAATATAAACATAATGTATTATTTCACTTGTTTAGCCAGGAAAGCCCCACTGAGTCTAAAGGTTTTGTAGGGTCCTGCCAAGTGTTTGCAGTAGGGGGCGATGTTGCTACACCGAATTTGACGATACGAAGGGAGAGTGTGAGGCCTATTTCTAGGCTTTAGGCCTAGCTGTAGGCGTTAGGCCGCTGTGAGTTAATTTGTAATTTAAATGTTTTAATTATTTATGTAAAAGCTTTAAATGTAAATGTTTCTATTTAAAAACATCAGGGAATGTAACATTGTAAAACATTAACTCCCTTTCACACACGCGGGGGTACGATACGAAGGGAGAGGTTGAGGCCTAGTTCTAGGCTTTAGGCCTAGCTGTAGGCTTTAGGCCGCCGTGAGTTAATTTTAAAATTAAATGTTTTTATTATTTATGTAAAAGCTTTCAATTTAAATGTTTCTATTTAAATGCATCAGGGAATGTAACATTGTTAAACATTAACTCCCTTGCACACACGCGGGGGTACGATTCGAAGGGAGAGTGATAGGCGTAGTTCGAGGCTTTAGGCCTAGCTGTAGGCTTTAAGGCGCTGTGAGTTATTTTTTTTCAAAGTTTTAATTAAAAGCTATCTCAGGGAATTATAAGGGAATGTTACACTTGTTTAGCCAGGAAAGCCTCATTAATTTAAATGTTTTAATTAAAAGTTATCTGAGGGAATTATAAGGGAATGTTACACTTGTTTAGCCAGGAAAGCGTCACTGAGTCTAAAGGTTTTTGTAGGGTCATGTCAAGTGTTTGCAGTAGGGGTCGATGTTGATACACGGTCGGACAGACTGTCGGACGGACGGACGATATCATCTATTGTAGGCTGGTCCACTTCGTTCCTACCAGTACAAGATAATCAACATGAATAGCAAATACAATAAAACCTTGGATTGCGAGTAAATTGGTCTGCGAGTGTTTTGCAAGACGAGCAATTTTTTAAAATAAATATTAATTTGATAAACGAGCGATGTCTTGCAATACGAGTACTGTAGTACGTACGTTATACGCTTTGTCTGCCGAGCGTCACGTGATCACAAGTGAGCCAATGGTTCTTCTCTCTCTCGCTGCGGGATTGTGGGTAATCGTCTCCCATGCTCGGTCTCAGTCGGCGTGCCTCACTCGTATAGTCAACATCCGTGCGAGCGTATACTGTTTACTATGGTGTTGTATTGTGTTGTGACCACGAGTGTGTGCGTAAAGCATTTTTTTTATTTTGAGTCCAAGTGTAGTGACTGTTCTTTAGTAACTGTACTGCAAGTGAAAGTCGTGCTACACAATAACCCTCCTCTCCTCTCTCTCGTCTCCCTCACACTAGCCACGATTACATTTGATTAATAAATTTGACTACTTTATATTAAATAAAAATCAAAAATATATAAAAAGTTATTTTGTATTAATCATTTTTATATGAATACAGTATTTTGGGGTTGTGGAACGAATCATCTGAGTTTCCATTATTTCTTATGGGGAAATTCGCTTTGATATACGAGTGCTTTGGATTACGAACTCGTTTCCGGAACGAATTATGCTCGCAATCCAAGGTTTTACTGTAAATTTATCTAATCTCTACCTCTTCTGTCATCTCAACGCACCTCCATTTTAAAATCCTTTATATTAAGTTCGCTTGCTTGCTTGCTTGCGTGCTTGCGTGCTTGCTTACGACCGTGCAAATCTTTCGGTCGTTTTTTAACCCACTTCCCGTGATCCAATCGAGCTGACATTTTTCACACAGACTCGTTGTGCGTGACAATTAATTTTCGTGAAAAAAATATTTCCAAAATTTTACACTGTTTAGGGAAATGTTTTGTTTATATTTCATTACCAATTGCTTAATGCTGGCAGCCATCTCAAGCCAGAGGACGAGAGGACTCTATCCGCCACGCATATAAAGGATTTAGAGTGAAAAACTTAGTTTTTACGGGTTAATTTTTTATCCATATCCATCTCGTCTCACCACATCTCTGCTTCGTGTCTATATCTTAGCTCTTCTCTTATCCCACTAGGAGTTCATATCTTGAAAAGAGGTGGTGGGGGGGATGGGTTGGCAGGCCAAAAATAAATGATGCTTAGGGTCCCCAATGGGCCAGCACCACCACGGACCGTGAACATCTCGAGACGAACAAATCACTGCCAACACCAGTGCAGAATTCCCCTCCATTTTTAGCTCAGCACCAATGAGAGGCCGATCTTTAAAAAAAACTCGTCCAGAGATTGTCTGCTTAGGGGCCATCCATTTAGTCGGTACGCCAAAAATCTGTCAAAACTTGACCCCTCCCTGTACGCACGCGTACCTTTTACACCCCCTCCCCCCGAATCCTATAGAACGGCAGATATTTAATCCACGCAGAAACGATCAATGATTAATAATATTAACGTGTTTAAGCAAACAGATAGTCCACCGCCGGACTATCTAACTCATTTGAAGGCCAATGTAGACACATTATTATTGGTGCTTCACCGCCCCCCCCCCCCCCGTTTCCTATGCGTATGTAACATTGTCAGAAGATCCCCCATACGCAAGCGTACACATTTGGGTTACCCCCGCTCTCCCCCCTCCATGCGTACGTACTCAATGGATTGAAAATATTGATATGCTGGTGTAACCAAAGTGTAACCTCGCCTGTTATGCAGGAGGTCGTGGGTTCGATCCCGACCCTGACGCCTGCTGCTGTATATTTGTAGTTTGCGTGTCTCTCTCTCCCCGTGGTCGCGTGGATTTTTGTCCGGGTCCTCCGTTGTTTTTCTCTCTCCACATTTAGAATCAACAGCACGCGTTTAGAGCATTTGGCTGCTATAAATGTCCACGTGATAAACCGCTCCGTTGAGCTATCATTTGTGGCCAGGTCGCTTCTGATAAAGAGCTACACGGCACAGTGGGTCCTACCTGGAAAAAATACAAAATATAGTTTAGTAGTTTATTTTCATTTTTTCACTCAGTGACCCTCTTTCGGAGCTCTATACGGGTGGTCGTCAATGCCATTATGCCAGTAGTGTTGCGAGCAACTAATATACACAGGGCTGAAGCTCTGCCTTTTAATTTACCGTTAAACAATGAAGTGTGCCACTCAAATGTGTCTGTTTGTTAGACATCCATTAGCATTGTATTTCAGTTTTTCAGTTTCATTTATTTGGTATAGCCCTGTGAGCCACTCGGCTCTTAAATCGGGTGCAACCGCAACAAACAAAAAACAAAAACATGAACAAGAAAACATCTTAAAGTGACTATGTGACTATGCGCAAACAGAAAAAATTCCAGGATAAAACAGCAAAAAAATATTCCAGAAAAAGCACCGTACACCAACGCTGTGTGCAAAAATCCCAGTGGGATGCAAGTCAAACAACAACAACCACAAGACAACTTAAATTAAAGCCATCAGTCTAACTCTGTACGACAACAAACAAACATGGCCAAACCAAACTTTTCGAAATCACCAAAATAAAGCCATAAAAGCAATGTAACAGTAATCATAGGAACTGTGACCGAAATGTAACAATAAACGACAAACAATGAAGGTACCGACAGTCCCCTACTTACGAACTTCCGACTTGCGAACATTTGCACTTACGAAAACGAACTTCCATATGATATTCATTTTGTCACGTGAACTCGCTTGCAAACCCAACCACGGGAACTATTGATGGTGTTTTCGTTTGCAGTGTTGCATGCAAATGTACAAAATGTATTCTTATTTATGAGTTTAACAATGCTTCCCTTTGTAGAACCGTAACACGTTTCATAACACTTGCCGTATGGGCATTTAAATACATATACATTATTGTGTACCGACTTACGAACGGGCATTAGGAACGTAAACCGTTCGTAAGTTGGTGTGGCACATTAGGAATGAACCACTCTTTTAATTATTTCCTTGTGCAGCAAGGGAGTAAAGTGTGGTTCTGTGAAAGTCCTTATGTGCTGTGCAGTGCATCAATGCACGTGTGTACAGCAGCATGTGATGACTGGGTTGGGCCTGTAAGTGGCTGGCAGGGTTATTGAATAACCGCACTTGTACGCAAGTCACGTGGTTAATGGCGACTCGGTTGCGGATTGCTGTGTGTGACACACGTGCTGTTGCATTTTACAGATTAATCACAACAAATGTCTTCTTGGTTCTTTCGGTAAAGTCACGTGACGGGAAATAATACAGTTATAAAAATAAAACATAATAAAATACAATTCTCACGACGTTTTGGCCACAACGCAAGCAGCCGTCCTCAGGTGAAGAACAGGGCTGTCGGAAAGAATGTTCAGACGCTGTCTTTCTGACAGCCCTGTTCTGCACCTGAGGACGGCTGCTTGCGTTGTTGCCGAAACGTCGTGAGAATTGTATTTTATTATGTTTTATTTTCATTATTGTATTATTTACCGTCTACGTGACTTTACCGAAAGAACCAAGAAGATGAATCCCTGCAGTCACGAAAGCTTTAAATCTAAATTTCACAATAAATGTTTTTGCCCTCGATTTGGAGCCCCTTCCCACGTCCTTCATTTCGAGTGTGCAACATTGGGGTCTGTCTGTATTTTAAAGGCACAGATTTAAAAAAATAAAAATCCTTTGATTCAAGCTGTCATTTTTTCTAAAGGGGGTAATCCCCCCTGAAATATTGCCAGATAGACACATCATACAGGATTATCCACACCTGCCATAGAGTAACAGCCTGAGTGCAGACCGGATTTCATATCACTGTATAGCAACATGCGTTTCCACTACACAAACGTGAGAGGTCTGAGACCTGATCAAAGCTTCATTTCCAAGAGGCTGCTAAGGCTGGCTTGGACGAGGTATTATCAGCGTAAGGCACTATCACTAGACTACAAGTTACACCCATCCATACTAACCCTGTATTATTGTACCGAATATTCATAAAATCCTCTGATAACACAGTACCATGAGGCAGAGGTTGCAAACGGGTTTTGATTCCTTACCCGTACCCGTACCCGGCCGGGTACCCGTTCCTTACCCGTACCCTACCCGAAATGAGTGACAAACGGTTACTCACCAGTGACTCACGGCCTACCCGTACCCGTACCCGGCCGCACCAGGGTCGCAAACGGCTACCGGTACCCAGCCGGGTACGGGTAGCCGGGTATCGGGTAGGGTACGGGTATCGGGTACCCGGTTGCGACCTTTGCCATGAGGACAACATTTGGCGAGATGGATGTTAGCCTGATTACATCCCTCTGCGCGTGCAAACATTTGAAGGCACTCATAAATGCACCACAATTGGCTCGATCAACATTGCAATCCGTTACAGATGTCAAACACTACATACGGAGTCCATACGTATATCCTGTTGTTCATTTTAATCAATGTCTATAAGTTATAGTAATACAGTAACGTAAATTGTTAAATATAGTATAATAGACATGACATGTGTTTTAATAAATTTGTAAATTAATTGGCGGATTAAGTTTCTCCGCACACCGTGCCAGTCAAGAATTTCACGTTGCCATAGAAACACAATAGTCTCATGTTGTCATAGAAACCCAATATTCTTATCCACGTTGTCATGGAAACCCAAGATTCACTCACGTTGTTAGGGAAACCCAATAATCTCACCCACATTGTCATCAAAACCCAATACATGAATATTAATCTCATGTCACAGAAATCCAAAAACTTCACGTCAAAGATACTCAACAATCTGAACCACGTTGTCATAAAAACACCATATTTAATGTTACCATAGCAACCCAAGTTTCTCACCAACGTTGTCAAGGAAACCCAAGAACCCCTCACCCCATCCCCCGCGTTGCCGTGGCAACCCGCCAAAACTCCATCGTCTTGTGACGTCACCAGAGTTCGGTCTCTATGATTGGTCGACACGCACAGCGAGCCGCCTGCTGATTGGCTGATGGGGGGGGTGTCTCCGTCATTTCTTTGAGCAGCAGAAGAACAAGAAGACGACCCTCGGAACGCCTCTGCGAGCCGGGCTGCAGTTCCTTTTAAAAGTATTCCTCCTCTCTTTCAAAGTGTCCGTATCTTTAATAGGCAATAAGCGAGCGGCAAGGTCGGTTTAGTCGTTCAGGCGACGACTTGTGGTCTGTGGGGAAATGTTCATCCGGTGCGGGCATCCTTGAGGCCTGTGACCGCTCCACACAGAGCCTGTTAAGGTCTGGGGCCGTCCATAAATGACGTCACGCACCTAGGGGAGGGGGTGGGGTCAGATATTTGTGACGATGTGTGACGAGGGGGGGGGGGGTTAAAAAATATGACGTCACATAAAAATTGGCAACTTTTAATAAATATAGACACGTTCTACTTACATTTTTATTTAAAGCTCTCGTGACTGCAGGGATTCAAATTAATGGTTCTTTCGCTAAAGAAATGTGACGTCACATCAAAATGTGTAACTTTTAATAAATATAGACAACACGTTCTACTTAATTAAATAGACTTTTTAATAAATGTTTTTTTTTATCCTACAACATCAGAGTGCAGCGCTGCATTAAATACGCACTACAATGACAATAGTTTAAAGCGATTTGAAGCATGTTTTATTTTTGGGGGGCAGGGGGGGCAGAGCTTTGTGACGTCATATTTGAGGGGGGGGGTCTGACTTTTTGTGACGCCGTGCGACGATTGGGGGGGAGGGTCAAAAATCGTTCAAAATCGCGTGACGTCATTTATGGACGGCCCCAAGTACTCATTTGAGGCTGAGTCGACCTAGGGGAAACGCAGGACCCGGCGCGCGCGTGACATCACTAGTTTGTCGTGAGCGGAAATTGAACGGGGGTCGCCGGGGGGTCACGGCGCAGTGGGCTAACCACTGCGCCACCGCTCCTCACGGTACAGACTCACATCGGCCGTGCGTAGTCCACTGCTGGATGAAGGCTTCCCCAAGCAATCCCGCACACAAAAAAGATTTCACCGCTCCGTCTCCTCTTGTGGACAAACCTCTCTTGGGGGGGGGGTTCCGTTCATTGAGCCCTCAGGGTTTTTTTCCTCTCCCCGTTTAGAATCAAACTCGCGCGTTGAAGAGTATTTAGCTGGTGCTATAAATGTCCACGTGATGATGATGATGATTTTAATAGAAATTTAATTTTAATAGAAATTTAATTTATTTTATTTTACCGAAAGAACCAAAGAGTATGATTCCTGCAGTCACGAAAACTTCAAATCTCGATTGATGATAAGCCACTTCGTTGAACTATCATTTGTGGACAGGTCGCATCTGAAAAAAAGCCTTATAGCTCACTGGACCTTGTAAAATAAAAATAAAACTTTTTAATTTCGATTTAAAGCTTTCGTGACTACAGGGATTCATCTTCTTGGTTCTTTCGGTAAAGTCACGTAGAAGGGAAGTAATAAAATAATAAAAATAAAACATAATAAAATAATTCTCACGACGTTTCGGCGACAACACAAGCAGCCGTCCTTAGGTGAAGACCAGGTCGACAGACCTGAGGACGGCTGCTTGTGTTGTGGCCGAAACGTCGTGAGAATTATTTTATTATGTTTTATTTTTATTACTTCCCTTCTACGTGACTTTATCGAAAGAACCAAGAAGAAAAAAACGTTTTTAGTTTTAAAAACGTGTGAAAAGCACGCCGCCTTTGTGCATTGTCCAAAAAAACCATCGGGCACCTTTCTGAAGATGTCCACTTAGTTCATCTTCAAGATGAATATGAGCGATGCTACACTGCCGGCAATCGAACAACGTGTGCTGCCCAAGCCCGCTTAGTTTTCTTACCAGTAAATAACACAGTCATGTAATCATCTCACTGGAAGTTTGTGCATCGCTTCTACATACGTATCTACTACAATTACGTGCATTTCAAGAATGTGCGTTTCATAGGCAACGTTTTTCCCTTAAAATAAAAAAAAACACATGGTTGACAATTCTGTTGATTCTCTCTTCAACACACCGGTGGGCTAAAGAAGTGAATTATTTTGTCCTTTAAAAAAAGTGACACATTTTTTACTGTTTGGCCGTGTCGGTGGTGGAGGGTTTACGACACATTTATAAATAACACGATCTGACCCAAATCCTATATTATGAATAGTATTGGTCACGAAAGCCTACGTGTTAAAATGCACACAGCCTAATCATGACCAGTGCATTACAGAACAACAGTGCATGCTCAGATCACTGGTGGTTATCTTTTAAACACTCAAAAGTTTAGCTGCAAAAGGTCATTCATCGTCAATTATTAATACCCACATAGCTCATCCTCGCAGCGGATTTTGGTTAGCCATCGAACAAAGACGGTCACTGCATCGCACGCTTTCAGATGTGTTTCTGTGGCCGTCTGGAACGCTCTTCTGATATTAGGAAGCCACTGGAGCCTATGCTCTTTAATTTGTATTGAAAACTCGTTTTTTTTACTTCTTTCTGCGTTTCGTTTGTTGTCTTTCCCCCGCACCTCCGATTAGCACGCTTGACTACTTATGGTGCGAAAGAAGTTCAACATGCGTAATAATTTCGTGACAAAACGCGAGATTTGCAAGTGCAATTTAAAGCAATATTGACCATCTGTGACGGGGTCGTAGGTTATATATTCATCAAGTGTAGTTTTTTTCACGTCCAACTTGCACAATCGAATGAAGCCTTTTAATCTGTAATTGCCATCACCGTTACAGCTCGTTTATGGCGATTACAATTCAGCGGTGGGTTAACAAAAGCGCGATTACATGCTACATGCCAAGCTAGTTCATGTCCAGCGACAAGCAAGCTGGGCTTGATTCCAATTCCGCAGCATGACCTTGCGTTGAAGTGGTGCAAACACAACCTTAGCGAGGAGAGGAACGACCCGGTCGTTGTTAAACAAACTTTAAACATAATGTTGCACGCTGAACAGCGCTAGCACGCGATGCAGTCTGCCTGTATCTGCCGAAACATTCTGCTCATGTTCTCACCCCACTATGGAAAGGCCGCGATAACCCAATCTATTCTCTTTGGTTCTTTCGGTAAAGTCACGTAGATGAAAATAAAATGAAAATATCTAAATTCAATCACACAAGCTTCTGTCATCATGTGGAACAGCCACAGCAAAATTACTGTAGTGAATAGTGAATAATTTGGCTGTAACGGTTCCACCTGATGACGGAAGCTTGTGTTGCCTCCGAAACGTCGTGATTTAATTTAGTTATTTTCATTTTATCATTTTTATTTTTCATCTACGTGACTTTACCGAAAGAACCAAAGAGTATGGATCCTTGCAGTCACGAAAACTTCAAATCTAGAATTAACCCAATTTATTAATTGTATATTATTTAAATATTTTATTATGCAAGCAGCCGTCCTCAGGTGAAGAACAGGTCTGTCGGAAAGACAGTGTCTGAATTTCATTCAATCTCATTCAAACTCTGTCTTTCCGACAGACCTGTTCTTCACCTGAGGACGGCTGCTTGCGTTGTGGCCGAAACGTCGTGAGAATTATTTTATGTTTCATTTTTATTATTTTATTATTTCCCTTCTACGTGACTTTACCGAAAGAACAAAGAAGATGAATCCTTGCAGTCACGAAAACTTCAAATCTAGAATTAACCCAATGTATTAATTGTATTTCGGCACACGCGTTACGTCATAGGTGAACCTGTGTGTTGTAGCGCCTTCAGTGGCCGCAGTCCAGCCCCCAAGTGTTTGCCGCTTCACTGAGCTGAAGCATCATTCGTCCAGTCACTGGATTCAGTTCATCCCGTTACAGAGTGATTCACGCGGCACACAGACGCGCGTTTGTTATTTTATGGCCGCGGGCTTGTGGGTGTTCGCCAAACCGGCAAACTTTGAAAAGAAACCGCCACTGCTGTTAAACATTATCCCGGAATTGCATTTCATTTGACTCTAATGACAAACGAGAAGGGGAGAGGGGAGGGGTTAAAGCTTCATCATGGGGGGGGGGGGGGCATCCCCCTCGAGTCACTCAACGCCACGAGGCCGTTTGTTTTCCCGTGTCGCATTGACCTCCGAACCCGCTGTGATAGCATCCTCTTTCGCTGTAGAGCAGAGAGCGGGGACAAGAAGTGGAGCACCCGGCCCGTGACCACCGGTGCCTGAGTGAGGTGCACGGCAGACGGCACGGAGAGCGAGCGAGCGGGCGAGCGAGCGAGCGAGCAACATGCTGGCCAAAGAGAAGATCGTCATCGGCATTAGTGGGTGAGTGTCTTGAGCGTGCACCGCTTTGATGCAGATTATCACTGAATAGCAATCATAATGATTCCCGTAATCCGGTAAATTATTTATCCAGGAACGACTCGCCGGGCCTCAAGATGTTCTGTTCATTTGAGTCGTGCACTGGGCTGGTTTGAGAAATCGGTTCACTTGGGCTTTGTCATTGATTATGTATTAACACAGTTGCTGAGCGCAGGTCAAGGGGTCAGCGACGATTGCACACACCGTGCACACAAGAGACGTTAACACTCAAACAGGGCTACAATTGCACTCAAAAGTTCACAAACCAACTTGCTTATACAACGGTTGTACTGTAGGTACTGTATGTTGAACTTCTTTTGCACCGTACGTAGCCAGTCATGCTAATCGGGGGTGCTGTGTTTTTCTACAAATGTGTTTTGGAGTTGTACCGCGCATTATTTGGCATGTTATGGTGGCGAGATGTTAACTACCTCGCCTGGTATGCAAGAGGTCCTGGGTTCGATCCCGACCCTGACATTTGTATATTTGGAGTTTGCACAGTCTCCCTGTGGTCGCGTGGATTTTTCTCCGGCTCCTCCGTTTTTTTTCCCTCCACATTTAGAAACATGCGTTTAAAGTGTTTGGCTGCTATACATTTCCACACGATGAGCCACTTCGTTAAACTATCATTCGTGGCCCAGGTCGCTTCTGAAGAAGAGCGATATAACTCAGTGGTCTCGTAAAATAACAATAGCTGAATAATTTAGTTTCATTCTAGATTTGAGGCTTTCGTGACTGCAAGGATTCATACTCTTTGTTTTTTTTCGGTTAAAGTCACGTAGGTAAAAAAAAACATTTTATCACGACGTTTCGGGCGCAACACAACACAAACGTCCGTCATCAGGTGGGAAAGCATGACCTACTGCTCCAGTCTGCATCAGCAGTAGGCAAGGCCTACTGCTCCAGTCTGCATCAGCAGTAGGCAAGGCCTACTGCTCCAGTCTGCATCAGCAGTAGGCAAGGCCTACTGCTCCAGTCTGCATCAGCAGTAGGCAAGGCCTACTGCTCCAGTCTGCATCAGCAGTAGGCAAGGCCTACTGCTACAGTCTGCATCAGCAGTAGGCAAGGCCTACTGCTACAGTCTGCATCAGCAGTAGGCAAGGCCTACTGCTCCAGTCTGCATCAGCAGTAGGCAAGGCCTACTGCTCCAGTCTGCATCAGCAGTAGGCAAGGCCTACTGCTCCAGTCTGCATCAGCAGTAGGCAAGGCCTACTGCTCCAGTCTGCATCAGCAGTAGGCAAGGCCTACTGCTCCAGTCTGCATCAGCAGTAGGCAAGGCCTACTGCTACAGTCTGCATCAGCAGTAGGCAAGGCCTACTGCTCCAGTCTGCATCAGCAGTAGGCAAGGCCTACTGCTCCAGTCTGCATCAGCAGTAGACAAGGCCTACTGCTCCAGTCTGCATCAGCAGTAGGCAAGGCCTACTGCTACAGTCTGCATCAGCAGTAGGCAAGGCCTACTGCTCCAGTCTGCATCAGCAGTAGGCAAGGCCTACTGCTCCAGTCTGCATCAGCAGTAGGCAAGGCCTACTGCTCCAGTCTGCATCAGCAGTAGGCAAGGCCTACTGCTACAGTCTGCATCAGCAGTAGGCAAGGCCTACTGCTCCAGTCTGCATCAGCAGTAGGCAAGGCCTACTGCTCCAGTCTGCATCAGCAGTAGGCAAGGCCTACTGCTCCAGTCTGCATCAGCAGTAGGCAAGGCCTACTGCTCCAGTCTGCATCAGCAGTAGGCAAGGCCTACTGCTACAGTCTGCATCAGCAGTAGGCAAGGCCTACTGCTCCAGTCTGCATCAGCAGTAGGCAAGGCCTACTGCTCCAGTCTGCATCAGCAGTAGGCAAGGCCTACTGCTACAGTCTGCATCAGCAGTAGGCAAGGCCTACTGCTCCAGTCTGCATCAGCAGTAGGCAAGGCCTACTGCTCCAGTCTGCATCAGCAGTAGGCAAGGCCTACTGCTACAGTCTGCATCAGCAGTAGGCAAGGCCTACTGCTCCAGTCTGCATCAGCAGTAGGCAAGGCCTACTGCTCCAGTCTGCATCAGCAGTAGGCAAGGCCTACTGCTACAGTCTGCATCAGCAGTAGGCAAGGCCTACTGCTCCAGTCTGCATCAGCAGTAGGCAAGGCCTACTGCTACAGTCTGCATCAGCAGTAGGCAAGGCCTACTGCTCCAGTCTGCATCAGCAGTAGGCAAGGCCTACTGCTACAGTCTGCATCAGCAGTAGGCAAGGCCTACTGCTACAGTCTGCATCAGCAGTAGGCAAGGCCTACTGCTACAGTCTGCATCAGCAGTAGGCAAGGCCTACTGCTACAGTCTGCATCAGCAGTAGGCAAGGCCTACTGCTACAGTCTGCATCAGCAGTAGGCAAGGCCTACTGCTACAGTCTGCATCAGCAGTAGGCCACGCTTTCCCACCTGGTGTTGCGCCCGAAACGTCGTGATTTAATTGAGTTGTTTTCATTTATTTCATCTTGTTACCTACGTGACTTTACCGAAAAAACCAACGAGTCATTTAGTTTAGTCGATATTTTTTTGCTGTGCCGCCATCTCCTGGCGAGCCAGGCTATGTCACTTCGACTCACGCGCGCGGGGAGTTTCGCAACATCTGTGCGGTGATCCAGCAACCCTCGCTGCTGCCTCCACAGTGCTGGATTCCAGGCGTGCGCCACCACCACCACTACCCATTCATTCGCAAATTGATGTCGCCAGGAGACACGGGCCTCTCAAACGTAGCCAACATTGACACAGAGCGCGATCTCTCCCAGTGTGACCAACGCAGGTAAAACCTCCTTAAGCCTCCGACTTCAAAAGGCACTCCCCAACTGCAAAGTCATCCACCAAGATGACTTCTTCAAGGCGAGTACAAAGCAACGTACAGAGCAACGTACAAAATTAAACGGTTGAATTCGTGGCGCCTGTTCCAACGGGAAAGGTGGAGCTATCGGGACCGAGGGATATATGTCAGAGAGGAGTTGGGCAACAGATTTACGAAAGAAGATTGGAATAAACGGTGGAAGTTGTGGGGAGATGTAAATTTTAAAGCCGTGCAAAGGCCCTCACACGTTTACATTGAAATACACGGGTGGTGGGTGGCTGGGGTAGCACTGAGCCACCATGGCCATGATCCTGGTTCGGTCATCGTGTAATTAACCGTTTCCCGTTCCAAGGATGACCGCAAGTGGCAGGGTGGGTGTCCCGTTCACCGCTGAATCTCGGAACACGCAAGCGGTGCAGACATATACTCACCGCAGAGAACTGTAGCTACACGACCGCGCTCTATGATAGCTGGCGCCAAACTGTGCCACCGCACGCACTGCCGCGTGGCCTTGTGGAAGCATCGGTACCGAGAAAGTTGTTTTATTTTAGTGTTGCTTCCAGACATACACGTGCATCATCGGATCGGGAAAGGGTTGAACCGGGTTCTCAGTTGAAGTGAGTTGATGGTTGGTGGTCTCGGCCCGGTAACTAACGATTGCAGGTACAAAAACATCGAATTCCATTTTATCTTCCAACAATTTATCAACAAATTCCAGATTCAAATTAAGAGATTATATTTTTGTGTCTTCTTGGTTCTTTCGGTAAAGTCACGAAATAATAAAATAATAAAAATAAAACATAATAAAATATTTTATTATGTTTAATTTGTATTACTTTATTATTTCCCTTCTACGTGACTTTACCGAAGGAACCAAGAAGATGAATCCCTGCAGTCACGAAAGCTTTACATCGAAATATATTTTGTTGCTTTCACTGTCATGTGGAGAACATCTCTGCAGCAGAGCACGCACATGGGAATAGCGAAACATGGCCACAGTCTAATGAAGAGCGCACTGGACTTGCGATCCAGAGGTCCGCGGTTCAATTCGACATCCTGGTGCGGCAGTTGAAACATTGGGACAAGTTTCTAAAATCTTCCCCCCCCTCTGCTGATATCTACGTGGTGGTGTGAATTAGTTTCCCGACAGTTATAGTCCATGGACAGGTTTAGTTTAATAGGTGAAGTGTTGTCACTCCTGCCCCTCACACCATTGGAACCTCATTTGCCAGTAAAAAATATGATAATTGTTTTTTTACCCTTCTATCTGGCAACAAAACTGACACCTTTTTTACAAGGAGTCATGTTTGCATGGACGACAATACCTGCAGTCATAATGCAAACAAAAAACACAACTCTGATAATGTATGCACTGTCCTTGAAGTTGATTGGTCCACACCCGAGACAGCTTTCCTTAGAGCCTAGTCTCACATGGGTTGCACCAGATGATGCATTATGGCTGCAGGTATTGTGGTCTATGCAAACATGACTCCTTGTAAAAAAAGGTGTCAGTTTTGTTGCCAGATAGAAGGGTAAAAAAACAATTACTACTCCTGCCCCTTTGAAGACAACTGACCGTTGTTGAAGAGTAGAGGCCACACATTACCACCTTGAGCTCCCTCGAATGGACGTCCTTCTGCCAGAAGTGGTTGTGAGCAAACAATTGCAGGGCCGCAAGTTTTCCCCAGAGGTCGCAACCGGGTACCTGATACCCGTACCCTACCCGTACCCTACCCGATACCCGGCTACCCGTACCCGGCCAGGTACGGGTACGGGTAGCCGTTTGCGACCCTGGTGCGGCCGGGTACAGGTACGGGTAAAGAATCAAAATCCGTTTGCGACCTCTGCTTTTCTCCCAACCTTTTAACTAATTGCACGACTTAATTTTGGCATTGTGTTCTAAATGGTCAAATGCCAGGTTAATTGTGAATTTTACTCTTTTTCAGCCTCCAGAAGAAGTCGTGGTGGATTCAAATGGCTTCTACCAGTATGACGGTACGAACCGATTTGCTATCCACCTTTAAGATGTATTATTCGCCACAATGTTGAACTTCTTTTGCCCCATACGTAGCCAACCGTGATAATCGGAGGTGTACGGGAAGGACAATAACAAACACACATTTTTGCGTCTTATGTTGGTTGTCGTCACTGCGTACATCTATGTGTGGGGCACCACGCTGGCAAGATGTGAACTACCTCGCCTGGTATACAGGAGGTCGTGAGTTCTACCCCGACCTTGACGCCTGCTGCTGTATACTTGGAGTTGGCGTGTCTCTCTCTCATCATCACGGTGGCTAGGAGATGTTAACTACCTCGCCTGGTATGCAGGAGGTCGTGAGTTCTACCCCGACCTTGACGCCTGCTGTATACTTGGAGTTGGCGTGTCTCTCTCTCATCATCACGGTGGCTAGGAGATGTTTACTACCTCGCCTGGTGTGCAGGAGGTCGTGAGTTCTACCCCGACCTTGACGCCTGCTGTATATTTGGAGTTGGCGTGTCTCTCTCTCATCATCACGGTGGCTAGGAGAGGTTAACTACCTCGCCTGGTATACAGGAGGTCGTGAGTTCTACCCCGACCTTGACGCCTGCTGTATACTTGGAGTTGGCGTGTCTCTCTCTCATCATCACGGTGGCTAGGAGATGTTTACTACCTCGCCTGGTGTGCAGGAGGTCGTGAGTTCTACCCCGACCTTGACGCCTGCTGTATATTTGGAGTTTGCGTGTCTCTCTCTCATCATCACGGTGGCTAAGAGATGTTAACTACCTCGCCTGGTATGCAGGAGGTCGTGAGTTCTACCCCGACCTTGACGCCTGCTGCTGTATATTTGGAGTTTGCGTGTCTCTCTCTCTCTCCCCGTGGTCGCCTGGATTTTGCTCCGGGTCCTCCGGTTTTTCCCTCCACATTTAGAATGAACGTGCGTTCATAGAATTTGGCTGCTATAAATGTCTACACGATAAGCCACTTTGTTGAGCTATCATTTGTGGCCTGGTCGCTTCCTGAATAAGAGCTGCGTAGCTCAGTGGGCCTTTGCCTGGTAAAATAAAAAAAGTAGTTTTTAGTTTTTGCCGTTGCCGAGTGTGCTCGCGCATGACTTTTTATTTCACTCCAGTCATCACCGCCTTGAACATGGACGCGATGATGAACGTTGTGAACGCGTGGATCAAAGACCCCTCTGGATTCAAGGGATTGTCTTCTGAGTCCCACATCGCCAGTCAGCCCCTGCACTACGATCCCGACGCTCCTCACATCCTGATCATCGAGGGCTTTCTCATGTACACCTACAGGTGAGTGAACGTGTACAGGTGTGTCATCGTGTACACCTACAGGTGAGTGAACGTGTACAGGTGTGTCATCATGTACACCTGCAGGTGAGTGAACGCCTCCCCTTGCTTAACGTGTACAGGTGTTCATCTTTTTGGTTCTTTCGGTATTTTCCTTCTACGTGACTTTTGTTATGTAGGCTAGGCGTAGTCACAAACCGCACCTCTCCATAATAAAGGCTCAGTCTGTTGTTATGCAGTCTATTCATAGTCTCAAGCCGCACCTTACAATATTAATAAAAAGTGTGCCGTTCCTGGCCCTTCCCCCTCCCCACTCAACCATTATATATACGGAGTGGTATCTCTTGTAATCTCTCATTTACTTGATGCAGCTGTCGGGCTGTGACGGTTCCACCTGAAGACGGAAGCTTGTGTTGCCTCCGAAACGTCGTGATTTTTATTTTATTTTACTTTTATTAATTTTAATGTTTTACCTACGTGACTTTACCGAAAAAACCGTAAGAATATGAATAAAAACCAAGAAGATGAATCCCTGCAGTCACGAAAGCTTTAAATCGAAAGTGTACAGGTGTGTCATCATGTACACCTACAGGTGAGTGAACGTGTACAGGTGTGTCATCGTGTACACCTACAGGTGAATGAACGTGTACAGGTGTGTCATCATGTACACCTACAGGTGAGTGAACGTGTACAGGTGTGTCATCATGTACACCTACAGGTGAGTGAAAGTGTACAGATGTGTCATCATGTACACTTACAGGTGAGTGAAAGTGTACAGGTGTGTCTTGGCCCACCCCGGATTAGACTCGGTTCTGTCGCGAGTGTCCTGCAGAGGCTCATCCCGACGATGACGACGACGACGACGACGACGACGACGCGCCGTGACCGCGAGCCAACGGCTTTGACCCTGGAAGCATGTCGAAGGGGGGGGGGGGGGTAGCGATGAAGAGTCCACCACCTACTCGAACTGTGTGGCTCTTCGAGTTGCGGTATTCACAAGCTGTGTGACGTCACCACGCCCGCTCCTGTCCCACCTCGCGACTGATGCCAGCGGTGTTGTCTCCGTAGGCCGCTTTTAAACGTGTTCGACTTCCGATATTTGCTGACCGTTCCGTTCGACGAAGCCAAGAGGAGACGCAGGTGAGATTGAATTCGGTAGCGACGACAGCGCTAATTATTCTTGAACCGGCCCATCAGCCTTACAAAGGTCTATAAACTGAGCGCCGCTTAGCGGAGCGACTGGCTCCTTCCATGAGAATGTAGAATCTGCACCGCTGGCTCAGGTGAAGCGGCGGGGTGTGAGCACCCACCCCATTGCTCATGTGACCAAAGAGATTTGTTTGACGTAATCCTGGAGATGGTAAAACCCTCGCTTGCTTAGTGAACAACAGATGCGCAACACGGACTGTTTAAATTAGTTGAATGTATAGTAATAGGTTTTTAGCCTTTCAACTGGTACAAAACTGACATCTTTATACAAGGCATCATGTTTGCAATAACCACAACACAAGAAGTCAAAATGCAAACAAAAATAAACAACTTTGATGATGATAATGATATGCACTGTCCATGAAGTTGATTGGTCCACACCCGAGACAGCTTTTCTTAGAGCCTAGTCTTCCTTGGTGTTGGACCAGATGACGCCAAAAGGCGTACAACTCAAAGACAGCGCACTATCAGAGTATTGAGAGCTCGGGGTTAAGCATTTACACTATGAGACCTCCTTTACCAGTGGCAAAATATAGTAATAGGTTTTTGCCCTTTCAACTGGTACAAAACTGACACCTTTATACAAGGCATCTTGTTTGCAATAACCACAACACAAGCAGTCAAAATGCAAACAAAAAGAAACAACTCTGATGATGATAATGATACACAAGGCATCTTGTTTGCAATAGCCACAACACAAGCAGTCAAAATGCAAACAAAAAGAAACAACTCTGATGATGATAATGATATGCACTGTCCTTGAAGTTGATTGGTCCACACCCGAGACAGCTATTCTTACAGCCTAGTCTCCATTGGTGTTGGACCAGATGACGCCAAAAGGCGTATAAAGGTGTCAGTTTTGTACCAGTTGAAAGGGTAAAAACCTATTACTATATTTTGCCACTGGTAAAGGAGGTTTCATAGTGTGAGTTGAATGTATGTTGAACTTATATCGCACCGTACGTAGCCATCCGTGCTAATCGGAGGGAAATGCCATACGTGTAATGTAAAGGTGCTGCCCTGTAATTGTTTGCTCATGGCACTGCTGGCGACAGGGCCTCCACTAGAGGTAGCTCTCGAGAGAGGGAACTTTGGCCTACTCTTTCACGTTGCCTAACCGCCTCGAAAGAGATCGGAGTGCCCACGCTTTAATGCCATCGCAGGCGTCCTGCCGATCAAATAACCGTGGCCACTGGTAAAGGAGGTCTCATAGTGTAAATGCCTGCCCCGAGCTCTCAATACTCTGATAGTGCGCTGTCTTTGAGTTGTACGCCTTTTGGCATCATCTGGTCCAACACCAATGGAGACTAGGCTCTAAGGAAAGCTGTCTCGGGTGTAGATCAATCAACTTCAAGGACAGTGCATATCATTACCATTATCAGAGTTGTTTCTTTTTGTTTGCATTTTGACTGCTTGTGTTGTGGTTATTGCAAACGTATGATGCCTTGTATAAAGGTGTCAGTTTTGTACCAGTTTAAAGGGTAAAAACCTACTGCTAAACCGTGGTGTAGTCATTTATGCAGCTCGTTTGGATAGAGGCCGGCTGAATTTAAGAAAAATCACGTCCGTGGTTTCAAACGGCTGCGTGCAGTGGGATCTAACTGGCGACCGGTGTATGCGGAACGTCTTTCGCACCGCACGTAGCCAACCGTGATAATTGGAGGCGCGGGGGAAGAGCATTGCACCGAGGCATCATCCTCGCTCGCATCGGCTCGCCAGGTGATTGCGTGTGTGCGCGGTGTCCCCTTCGATTTTCCCCGGTCCCCAGCACCAGGGTGTACTGCCCCGCGGATCCTCCCGGCTACTTCGAGGGCCACGTTTGGCCGATGCACCTCGAGCACAAGGAAGAGATCCGCAGCCTCGGTGTGCACGTCGGTAAGGGCCCCCTAGCGGTGTGAAAGTTTCATTGACCGAGAGGTGGCCTAGTGGCCCACAGATCGGAGGGTTGAGCCAGCGCCGCTGAGATCCTGGGTTCAAATCAAGGCAGCCGCTGCCTTGTGATACATGCGCTCGGCCTGTTCTCCTGTAATCCGGTAGTCGTTGCGTTCCTGAAGAAAAGCGCGTGATGGGAAAAATCGCGTTACAATGCTTAACATATAATGTGGGGGTAAAGCACAGTCCGCGATAACACGTGGGATGCTTACGCAGGCTGTACAAAGACCTGAGGCGCGTGGGTAGAATCTAGAAGCATCCAGCAGCATCCCAATGCCTTGCGATGACGATGCTACTCCGAGGCAGCCGTACGATCGCTTATTCCTACTCACGCGACCTAGTTCTGTCCACTCAATCGCGTTATATCCACTTCGCGTGATGAAAACACGAGTTGTTGGAGAACAGAGCGTACATAGATATATCCAATAATAATTATTGCCTATCTTCTTGGTTCTTTCGGTAAAGTCACGTAGAAGGGAAATAAAAAAATAAAAACATAATAAAATACAATTCTCACGACGTTTTGGCCACAACGCAAGCAACCGTCCTCAAGTAAAGAACAGGTCTGTCGGAAAGACAGCGTCTGAATGAACAAACAGCGTCTGAATGGCGCTGTCTTTCCGACAGCCCTGTTCTTCACCTGAGGACGGCTGCTTGCGTTGTGGCCGAAACGTCGTGAAAATTGTATTTTATTATGTTTAATTTTTATTATTTTATTATTTCCCTTCTACGTGACTTTACCGAAAGAACCAAGAAGATGAATCCCTGCAGTCACGAAAGCTTTAAATCGAAATCATTGCTTATTAACCCAGGTAAAGCTGAGTCCGATGGCTCTCGTTCAGGCGGGTCCTGTGTTGGGGTGTTTGGCCAACGCCAGGTGCATTACATTTGATTTGAAGCTTTCGTGACTGCAGGGATTCATCTTCTTGGTTCTTTCGGTAAAGTCACGTAGAAGGGAAATAATAAAATAATAAAAATAAAACATCATAAAATAATTCTCACGACGTTTCGGCCACAACGCAAGCGGGACGGAATTATTATTATTTCCCTTCTAAGTGACTTTACCGAAAGAACCAAGAAGACCAGGTGCATTGTTCACTTTTAGCTTCGGGAGGAAAATGGAAAACCCGGAGAAAACTCGTGCCGAACAGGGGGAGAAGATGCCAAATCCCACGTGGATAGGTGCCCGTGTCAGTAATCGAACTCGGGTCCTTTGGGCTGTGAGGCCAAGGTGTTTCCACGTCGCCACATGGTTAAGCCGGGTTTTTAAGTGCGGTGAGTTGATGGGCTCAGGCCAATTCATCAATGACCGCACAATAAGACGTCACATTTTGTTCTGTACTGAATGTCGCTCGATTCCAGCGAGCGGATCACAATCGGAACGTTGCCTGTTAAAATCCCGGTCGTGGTTTGACCGAGCCCATCATCCCTCTGGGGATCCTGAAGTGAGTACTACTTTGTGAGGAAGCTAACAGTAGTTTTTTTTTTAACCAATCTTATCATAAAAAACTTCTCTCAAGGGGTCTACCCTGGCTCCTCCCACCTCAACCAGTATATATATACAAGGTCGGGTCTCTTGGAATTTCTCATTACTTGATACAGCAATCGTGCTGTGATGGTTCCACCTGAAGACGGAAGCTTGTGTTGCCTCCGAAACGTCGTGATTTATTATTTTATTTCTATTATTTTTATTATTTATCTTTTATTATTTATTTTTTACCTACGTGACTTTACCGAAAAAACCTAAGCGTACTAACAGTAGTTTTCCTATGGATAGACTCACCCCTGCCACCACTGGGTCAGGGCTACGAACAGGAGGTGAACACCACCTCCAACTTTAATTCTAGATTTGAAGCTTTCGTGACTGCAAGGATTCATATTCTTAGGTTTTTTCGGTAAAGTCACGTAGGTAAAACATTAAAATTAATAAAAGTAAAATAAAATAAAAATCACCTCCAACGCTCATATGAACAGGAGACCGCTTTGGCTTTGAATCTCAGACGGGTGGCATTGGCTTTGAATCTCAGACGGGTGGCATTGCTGTACCATTGGGGTTCCTGTGCCCCCACAGAACCTTGCCTGGACGGGACGAGTCACCCGGACGAACTGTTCCGGCTGGCGTACGACGACATCAGTGCCAAGGTCCGGCGATTGTCGTCCGGCTTGTAACGGCTTCCGTTGGACTAAACTAAACACTGCACTGTTTGTGTTGTCAGGTGGGGCCCACTGAGCTGTATAGCTGTATACTCTTAGGTTTTTTCGGTAAAGTCACGTAGATAAAAAATAAAATTAAAATTAATAAAAGTAAAATAAAAACCACGTCTTTTCGGAGGCAACACAAGCTTCCGTCTTCAGGTGGAAGCCTTCACAGCACGATTGCTGTATCAAGTAAGATGGAACCGTCACAGCACGGTAGCTGTATCTTACTTGATACAGCAATCGTGCTGTGACAGTTCCACCTGAAGACGGAAGCTTGTGTTGCCTCCGAAACATCGTAATTTTTTTATTTTATTTTTATTTTACTTTTATTAATTTTAATTTTATTTTTTACCTACGTGACTTTACCGAAGAAACCTAAGAGTACGAATCCTTGCAGTCACGAAAGCTTCAAATCTAGAACTGTATAGCTCTTTTTGAGAGCTGTATTCGCCTCTGAAGCCATCCGCTGGATTCATAACAATCCACCCAAACACGGTGGGCACACTCTCCCATCGGCATGATGGTATTGTTACAACTTTTTAAACTATAACTAAACTATACACTTTTTATCTTACCAGCTAAGGCCCACTGAGCAGTGTAGCTCTTCATTTTAAAGATTGGCGTTTGCCCCTAAAGCCATTCTGCTGGATTTCTAACTAAGACGTCAACTTATATTTCGATTTAAAGCTTTCGTGACTGCAGGGATTCATCTTCTTGGTTCTTTCGGTAAAGTCACGTAGAAGGGAAATAATAAAATAATAAAAATAAAACATAATAAAATAATTCTCACGACGTTTCGGCCACAACGCAAGCAGCCGTCCTCAGGTGAAGAACAGGTCTGTCGGGAAGACAGACGTCGTGAGAATTATTTTATTATGTTTTATTTTTATTATTTTATTATTTCCCTTCTACGTGACTTTACCGAAATAACCAAGAAGACGTCAACTTATGATTACTACCCAATTCATAGATGCTGCCACGGTTATGTGCAGCTCATTTCCATCTCCTGGCGCAGCAGTTGAAACAATACGTTTTTTTGTTATTCCACCCCCCCCCCCCTTCTGTCCACACCTTCGCTCAGCACGGTTGGCTACGTACGGTGCGAAAGAAGTTCAAAGTACGTACATCGATTGTTGTCCTTCCCCCACACTTCCGCTTACCACGATTTGGCTACACGTGGTGCAGAAGTTCAACATACATACATGCATAGTTTGTTGTCCTCGCACCTCCGGTTACGACGGTTGGCTTCGTATGGTGCGAAAGAAGTTCAACATACATACATTCATACGGACACACAGCAATATAAATGGGTGCATCACAAGTAGTCGACTGGCAAGACGTGCGGGGGTAAATGTGGCATTTTTGCACACAGCGTTGGTGTACGGTGCTTTTTTTTCTGGAAGTCTTTGCAGTTTTTTCCTGGATTTTTCTGTTTGCGCATAGTCACTTGAAGATGTTTTCTATTTCATGTTTTTGTTTTGCTACGGTTGCACCCAATTCAAGAGCCGAATGGCTCACAGGACTATACCAAATAAACTGAAAACTGAAAAAGTACTCCAACCCCTTCCAAGATGACCGGCCAGCGTGGAAGAGCAGGCAAAGAATGACCCTCTAGCCCAGCGGTCCCCAACCTTCTTGGCACCAGGGGACCGGTTTCGTGGAAGACATTTTTTCACGGACCGGGGGGGTGGGGGGGGTCATCATTGGGTCTTTCCCCCTTTTCAAAGAAGCTCTCCAGCTACGTTTGTTTTCTACTCATTGTGGCTAGGGGTTAGAGCTTGTGGGCTTAGCACAACCGTGGCTGAGACAAGTACGCAGTGCGGGAAAAAGTTGCGGATGGAAGTGGTCAATAAAACAATGGGGGCGGCCCACGCCAGAGGTCGCAACCGGGTACCCGATACCCGTACCCTACCCGATACCCGGCTACCCGTACCCAGCTGGGTACGGGTACCCGTTTGCGACCCTGGTGCGGCCGGGTACGGGTACGGGTAGGCTGTGAGTCACTGGTGAGTAACCGTTTGTCACTCATTTCGGGTAGGGTATGGGTACGGGTAGGGAACGGCTACCCGTACCCGGCTGGGTACGAGTACCCATTTGCGACTCTGGTGCGGCCGGGTACGGGTAAGGAATCAAAACCCGTTTGCGACCTCTGGCCCACGCGCGGATTCACCGCTCTCACCTCCTGCTGCTGTGTGGCCCGGTTCCTAACAGGACATGGGCCGGTACCGGTCCACGGCCTGAGGGTTGTGGACCCCTGATCTAGCGGGACTCTCTCTCTCTCGAGGGGCTCTTCAGAGCTCCGTCCAGTGCAGGCCCTTCTGCCAGCAGTGGCTGGGAGCAGACAAATGCAGGGCTGCACCTTTACCTCTTGCTCAATTGAGAGCGATACGGAAGAGAGGGCGAGCGTGCCAGTGGTAATCTTGTGTGCTTCGTCTGAACTCGTAGGGACTGTTATTGTGACACGGCGCAGTGTTGTCGTCTGCTCGTGATTCGTAAAACTTGAAAAACCATGAAGGATTTTGTAAATGACGTCGCCGCCTTTCATTAAAATGCTGCTGAGTAAATGGTTGTTACCTTTCATTAAAAACGTATTTTCGCACGCGACAATGATAACTTTGGTAAATGTTTATCAGTCAAATAAAAATGTAAAAAAGGAAAAATGAATAGCTTCATATGGAGCAAGGGTACAAATCTCTAATTTCTTATTTAGTTTAATCGTCACGACGGGGCAAGTGGAGGCACACCGACTGACACAATGCACTGTTCGCAGACCATCACGTGACCTGAGTTTGATTCCCAGGCACGGCAAACATCGGTGGCGAGTGATACATGAACCGATCCTGTGCACCACCCACCCCCCCAATTTCGTATCAACCTGCGCTGACCAACGCGGTGAAGTATGGTCAAACAACCTCCACAACTCACATGCAGTGGGGGAGACTGATTTTGATAAAAACGTAAATTGTCCCCAATTCCAACTGCGCCGTTGCCATCTTACGCGACGACAACATCCATGATGCAATCTCACAGAGAGCAGCGCATCACACAACAGGCTGCAGAAGGGGCAGAGGTCGCAAACGGGTTTTGATTCCTTACCCGTACCCGGCCGCTCCAGGGTCGCAAACGGGTACCCGTACCCGGCCGTACCCGGCCGTACCCATACCGCCCGGGTACGGGAGGGTACGGGTATCGGCAGGGGCGGTTTCTTCATTAGGGCGATTGGGCGACGCACCACCAATGTCATTGAACCACAGAGTCACGCTAGCCGTCACTGTCAGCCTCTGGATATAGTCCAATCAGCGTCATGTCACGTTCTGTGGAGTACCGCCTCTTTTTGGGCGATTTCACTCCGGCTGAGAATCGCCCCGAGTGGCCCCATAGACTTACATTGAATGATGTTTTTTTCGAACGGAGGGCGCTCCAATGCATTCTCTATGGCTTCCGGGAGGGCAAGCCCTAACGTGCTTACGTCATCATACGTAAGCACGTTTCATCCAACAATATAATTTATCGCCACCTAGTGGAATCTTCTTCTTGGTTCTTTCGGTAAAGTCACGTAGAAGGGAAGTAATAAAATAATAAAAATAAAACATAATAAAATTATTCTCACGACGTTTCGGCCACAACGCAAGTTATTCTCACGACGTTTCGGCCACAACGTTCCACTCACTGGCATGGTGCAGTGTGCAGAGTAATGTATGGTGTCGTAATTGTATAGTAAATATATAGCAGTGTGATACACATTAGGGTGGGTAGAATAATACATAGTGTTATATTAAAATGGATAAGGCAGCAACTGCAGCAGTAGCAGCAACTGCAGCAGCAGCAACTGCAGCAGCAACTGCAGCAGCAGCAGCAACTGCAGCAACTGCAGCAGCAACTGCAGCAGCAGCAGCAACTGCAGCAACTGCAGCAGCAGCAGCAACTGCAGCTCCCTTTGATGCTGTTAATCCTGCATAGTGCACATGCATATGCAGTACTAATCACATTCCTGCATTTCCCATAAATATGCTAAATTCCTCTTGATATGCAAATTCCTTTGTCAAGGCGCCCAGCTTATATATATGCTCCAAGCTCGTGTGCTGTTTCATTCAGACTCTGTCGCCTCGACGGACCTGGTTTTCACCTGAGGACGGCTGCTTGCGTTGTGGCCGAAACGTCGTGAGAATAATTTTATTATATTTTATTTTTATTATTTTATTACTTCCCTTCTACGTGACTTTACCGAAAGAACCAAGAAGATGAATCCCCTGCAGTCACGAAAGTTTTAAATCAAAATCTAGTGGAATCTTTAATAAAATAAACTTGAGTGGTTTGTTTTAATAGTGAGTATAGAAACAAACAAGATGTATTGTAAGAGTCACTTTATTTTTCATTAATATTAAAAAAGTGAAGTTGCCTTTACATGCTTAAGCTGTTAATTTATCCATTGCATGGGTGGACCTTATCCTTATCAATCATCCAGACATTTGCCCCCCCTGAGAGATTTAGCAGGAGCCGCCACTGGGTATCGGGTACCTGATTGCGACCTCTGGGATGAAGCCATGTTGCAGGCGCGGGTGGGTTGATTCTAGGAACTTGAATTGTGAGAAGAGACAAGACGTTGGGAAATGAGTGACAAACAGTTACTCACCAGTGACTCACGGTCTACCCGTACCCGGCCGCACCAGGGTCGCAAACGGCTACCCGTACCCGTACCCTGATGGGTACGGGTAGCCGGGTATCGGGTAGGGTACGGGTATCGGGTACCTGGTTGCGACCTCTGAGAAGGGGGCAGGGGCGGTGGGTCGGGGGGGTCAAAGGACAATTTTAAAAACTCCTTCAAGTGCCCTCGTTCTTCTGTCCCACAAACTCTGCTATGAGATTGTTTATCGCTCCGCAGTCAAGCTGTGATGTTTTAACTCTCGCAGCTGCCACACAGACATATAAAGCACGAAACTAAATTCACTGCAATGGGTGTTTGTTGTTGTTGTTGTGTAGTCATTCGGTGACCGTGCTGAGACCAGTAACTGTGACCGCGTCCGTCCAGTGCTCGCAGAGCTGCATTGGCTGCTGGTTGCCGAACGAATAATTAGTTATCTGGTTGCACTCGTTACACGCGCAAAGTTCTCGCCACAAATGAACCACAATAACTTGTGTGATCTCGTCAAGGTGCGTAAATCATCACGCGAACTCCGGTCATCACGCGATCTCCGGTCATCCTTGCAGCAGCGGATTTTGGCTCGTCGTCGAATAAAGACGGTCAGCATCTGCAACCGTCTGGAACACTCTTGCTTCCGATATTAGGAAGCCACTGGAACGGTGCACTTTCAAATCATCGAGATTGAAAACTCAATTATGTAGAACTGATTTTTACACGCTTTCTATTAACTCGCTCTGTCTGTTGTTGTCGCAGAGCTTCCAAATGCAGAATCGTCAAATGATGTGTTTCATACTTTATTTGAAGCTTTCGTGTCTTGCAGGAATTACCAGGCTCTCATAGGGCCATTCGATCTTCTTCTTTCCCTCGGTCGCTTCGGGGTGGATTCATTGACATGCTAATTTCTCTGCGCCACCAACAGACCCACCTCTCTCTCTGCCCAACCCCCACCCCGCCCCCCTCTCTCTATTTAAGGCCTCGACACAGAGGCATTGGGTCTCTGTGTGTCTATGCTGTGTGTCTCTCTGTCTCTGTGTTGTCTCTCTCTGGATGTGCGTCTGTCTGTGTGTCTATGCTGTGTGTCTCTCTGTCTCTGTGTTGTCTTTCTCTGGATGTGCGTCTGTCTGTGTGTCTATGTTGTGTGTGTCTCTGTGTTGTCTCTCTCTGGATGTGCGTCTGTCTGTGTGTCTATGTTGTGTGTCTCTCTGTGTGTCTCTGTGTTGTCTCTCTCTGCGTGTGTGTCTGTCTGTGTGTCTATGTTGTGTGTCTCTCTGTGTGTCTCTGTGTTGTCTCTCTCTGCTTGTGTGTCTGTCTGTGTGTCTATGTTGTGTGTCTCTCTGTGTGTCTCTGTGTTGTCTCTCTCTGCTTGTGTGTCTGTCTGTGTGTCTATGTTGTGTGTCTCTCTCTGTGTCTCTGTGTTGTCTCTCTCTGCTTGTGTGTCTGTCTGTGTGTCTATGTTGTGTGTCTCTCTCTGTGTCTCTGTGTTGTCTCTCTCTGCTTGTGTGTCTGTCTGTGTGTCTATGCTGTGTGTCTCTCTCTGTGTCTCTGTGTTGTCTCTCTCTGCTTGTGTGTCTGTCTGTGTGTCTATGTTGTGTGTCTCTCTGTGTGTCTCTGTGTTGTCTCTCTCTACTTGTGTGTCTGTCTGTGTGTCTATGTTGTGTGTCTCTCTCTGTGTCTCTGTGTTGTCTCTCTCTGCTTGTGTGTCTGTCTGTGTGTCTATGTTGTGTGTCTCTCTCTGTGTGTCTCTGTGTTGTCTCTCTCTGCTTGTGTGTCTGTCTGTGTGTCTATGTTGTGTGTCTCTCTCTGTGTGTCTATGTTGTGTGTCTCTCTCTGTGTGTCTCTGTGTTGTCTCCCTCTGCTTGTGTGTCTGTCTGTGTGTCTATGTTGTGTGTCTTTCTCTCTGTGTCTCTGTGTTGTCTCTCTCTGCTTGTGTGTCTGTCTGTGTGTCTATGTTGTGTGTCTCTCTCTGTGTGTCTATGTTGTGTGTCTCTCTCTGTGTGTCTATGTTGTGTGTCTCTCTCTGTGTATCTATGTTGTGTGTCTCTCTCTGTGTGTCTCTGTGTTGTCTCTCTCTGCTTGTGTGTCTGTCTGTGTGTCTATGTTGTGTGTCTCTCTCTGTGTCTCTCTCTGTGTGTCTATGTTGTGTGTCTCTCTCTGTGTGTCTATGTTGTGTGTCTCTCTCTGTGTGTCTCTGTGTTGTCTCTCTCTGCTTGTGTGTCTGTCTGTGTGTCTCCGTGTTTGTGTTTAGTCTCTCTCTCAAATTTAGCTCTATCTGATGACAGTTGCTTGTGTTGCAATCGAAACGTCGTCCTCTATTATTTAATTTATTTTCTTTATACCTGACTTTACCGAAATGAACCAAAGAGTGATGTGTTTCATTTTGAGACCATCAATCCGTTACGCTTGAACCCAGTTTAACCGCGGGCAGCAGCTTCAACCCGGATTCAAACCCAGGCCCTCAGCGTTGCCGGCTCGACGCTCTGCCCTCTGAGCTTTGCGGTCTCCCCGTAGATCCGTATATTTGTAAAGAAATTGCATCCTTTTTTTTTAATCCTTTATATTAAGTTCACTTGCTTGCTTGCTTAGGACCGTGCAAATCTTTCGGTCGTTTTTTAACCCACTTCCCGTGATCCAATCGAGCTGATCTTTTCCACACAGACTCGTTGTGCGTGACAATTAATGTTCGTGAAACATTTTTCTCAAAATGTTACAGTTTTTAGGACAAAAATATTATATTTCATTACCAATTGCTTAATGCTGCCATGCAATCATCTGACCCATAGGTGGCAGCCATCTCAAGCCAGAGGACGAAAGGACTCTCGCCGCCACGCATATAAAGGATTTATAGTGAAAAACTTTGTTTTTACGGGTTATACTTGGTATGAGTGTTTGAAGACGACTGAAACTTGAAAACATTGACGAGTACAAAATTTTTAATGTCCCACTGCATCAGAATTCTGCAACGGTAGAGTTGCTCCGGTAATGAACGATATTCTGCCGTCAGCCTCTGTAATTGTCGTGTCGTTCTACATCAGCCAACACGCGGCCTTTCCGCTAAACTTTTTTCTTTACAAATCCCACGGGAGCAGTGCTTAAAATACAAAATACGTGAATTCTCAAGCCGATAATTGTCCCGTCCGCTGAGCTGTGTCAAGGAGCATGAACCAGCATCACGGCGAACTCCGCTCATCGCAGCAGCAGCAGTGGGGGCTTTTGTGTGGCTATCGAACAATGTGACCGGTGCTGTGTACTAGACTTCAAATAAAATTAACCCGTAAAAACAAAGTTTTTCACTCTAAATCCTTTACATGCGTGGCGGCTAGAGTCCTCTCGTCCTCTGGCTTGAGATGGCTGCCACCTATGGGTCAGATGATTGTCTGCTAGCATTAAGCAATTGGTAATTAAATATTTAAAAACATTTCCCTAAACAGTGTAAAATTTTGGAAAAAAAGATTTCACGAAAATTAATTGTCACGCACAACGAGTCTGTGTGCAAAATGTCAGCTCGATTGGATCACGGGAAGTGGGTTAAAAAACGACCGAAAGATTTGCACGGTCGTAAGCAAGCAAGCACGCAAGCACGCAAGCAAGCAAGCAAGTGAACTTAATATAAAGCATTAAAAAAAAACGACCGAAAGATTTGCATGGTCGTAAGCAAGCAAGCACGCAAGCACGCAAGCAAGCAAGCAAGTGAACTTAATATAAAGGATTTAAAAAGTCTCCAGCCATGGTCCGCCAACCCCCACCTCCGGATAACCACCATCACAGCCCCTCTCTCAGACAAAACGCTGTATCTTCATTTCCAGTGACATTTTGTGAAGATGGACATGAACAAAGAAAAGTCCGATTTAAAGCTTTCGTGACTGCAGGGATTCATCTTCTTGGTTCTTTCGGTAAAGTCACGTAGAAGGGAAATAATAAAATAATAAAACTAAAACATAAAATAATTCTCACGACGTTTCGGCCACAACGCAAGCAACCGTCCTCAGGTGAAGAACAGGTCTGTCGGAAAGACAGAGTTTGAATGAGATTGAATGAAATTCAGACACTGTCTTTCCGACAGACCTGTTCTTCACCTGATGACGGCTGCTTGCATTGTGGCCGAAACGTCGTGAGAATTGTATTTTATTATGTTTTATTTTTATAATTTTATTATTTCCCTTCTACGTGACTTTACCGAAAGAACCAAGAAGACAAAAGAAAAGTCCTCTATCGCAGAGAGCTTCCCTGAGCCTGCTGAGCATGCTTCCAACACAACTTGAAAATGCACGCCTGCAATGGAACGACACCAGGCAATAAATAAATACATCCATACAAACAGATCACCGGCCAACGCAGCCTTCCACCGTTCTGCCATGACGCCTGCGGCTTCAAAGTCTCCAACCAGCGGTCCCCCTTCCCCCCCACCTCCGTATCCAAAAGCAACAGCCGCTCATTCGCCACGAAGTGATGGTGATGTCACCACGGCGCTTGTGCCAGGCCAGGTGCCCGTGGTGAGGCCACGTGAAGTTTCGAAAGCTCGCTGCTGACAGGAGGTCACGGAACAGACCCAGGTGGTGCCATGCGTCAACTGACTGAGATGACTGGCAGCTGTACCCCCCTTACTGTGCCGACTTGCTTCGTTTTAGCCGCCCGGCGCTCCGCTCATTGTGAATGTCACTCCTCTGCTCTCCACGTTGTTGTTGGAGGACGACTGCCTCCGTAGATTTTTGTGCAGTCTGTTCTCCTATGACGCGGCAGTTGTTGCGTTCGTGAAGAACAACGCGTTACGGAAAAATCGCGTTGTACTAATAAATATATTGTAGGGTAAAGCACGGTCCGCGATGACACGTGAGATGCGTACGCAGGCCGAACAAAGGCTTGAGGCGCGTGGGTAGCATCTAGAAACATCCAGCAGCATCCCGCTGCCTCGTGCGATGATGCTACGCCGAGGCAGCCGATTCCTACTCGCGTGACACAGCTCCGATCGCTCGATCGCGTTCCACCCGATTCGGCAGGCCGCGTCACGAAAAACAAAAATTGTGTTCCCTAATACGTCCGTCGCAGCGCGTCCAATTCCCGTCGCGAAACAAAAACCCCAAACGCGCTTCGCGACGGGAGACCGGAACGGGGAGCCTCCGCTCCCCACTCTCAGAAATCCGCCGGCCTTCGTCTTCATCTCCACGAACTTGAAGGTGTACTTGCGCCCCGAGCGGTAGTCGCTCAGCAGGTACCACGTGCCCCAGAAGATGCCGTCGGTGACGGCTCCGCGGTAGCGGCCGCCCCGGTAGTAGCGGCCGTTGAGGTTGGCGGCGAAGCAGGCGTCGAACCACCACCCAGCGGCGTAGTAGGCGGCGCAGCTGCCCGCCGCGTACGCGTCGTGGTCGCGGTCCGGCGTCGAGAAGGGCCGCCCGTCGTGGCTGTAGCCGCGCCGGTAGGTGAGGGCGTTGCCGGCGTCGCCCCGGTAGGCGCGCGCCGTCAGGCGGTAGCGCTCGCGCTCGGGCGCCACGCGGAAGCGAGCGTAGAGCGCGTGGCGGCGCACGCCGTGCCAGTCCTCGAGCTCGACGCGCAGGCTCGCTCCGCCGGCGCCACCGGTCCCATCGCCGCCGCCACCGTCACCGCCGCTGGCGCCATCGAGGCGTCTCGCCCGGCGCTGGCGGGTCAGGGGGCACAAAGAACGGCGATGGTCAATCAGTCACGGTCAGTCATTATCTGACGTGCCGACATCGCCCTCGGTAGAGTCGGCTTCGGTGCACTTTGCAGCGTAACGGGAACGGTACAGGGCCATGGAACAACACAATGATGACAGTGGCCATGGTGATGACTGTGCCCATGGTGATGACAGTGACAATGGTGATGACTGTGGCCATGGTGATGACTGTGCCCATGGTGATGACAGTGACCATGGTGATGACTGTGACCATGGTGATGACTGTGACCATGGTGATGACTGTGACCATGGTGATGACTGTGACCATGGTGATGACAGTGGCCATGGTGATGACTGTGACCATGGTGATGACTGTGACCATGGTGATGACAGTGGCCATGGTGATGACAGTGGCCATGGTGATGACTGTGACCATGGTGATGACTGTGGCCATGGTGATGACTGTGACCATGGTGATGACTGTGACCATGGTGATGACTGTGGCCATGGTGATGACAGTGACCATGGTGATGACTGTGACCATGGTGATGACAGTGGCCATGGTGATGACTGTGACCATGGTGATGACAGTGGCCATGGTGATGACTGTGGCCATGGTGATGACTGTGGCCATGGTGATGACTGTGACCATGGTGATGACTGTGACCATGGTGATGACTGTGACCATGGTGATGACTGTGGCCATGGTGATGACAGTGACCATGGTGATGACTGTGACCATGGTGATGACAGTGGCCATGGTGATGACTGTGACCATGGTGATGACAGTGGCCATGGTGATGACTGTGGCCATGGTGATGACTGTGGCCATGGTGATGACTGTGACCATGGTGATGACAGTGGCCATGGTGATGACAGTGACCATGGTGATGACTGTGACCATGGTGATGACAGTGACCATGGTGATGACAGTGACCATGGTGATGACTGTGGCCATGGTGATGACAGTGACCATGGTGATGACTGTGACCATGGTGATGACTGTGGCCATGGTGATGACTGTGACCATGGGGATGACTGTGACCATGGTGATGACTGTGGCCATGGTGATGACAGTGACCATGGTGATGACTGTGACCATGGTGATGACAGTGGCCATGGTGATGACTGTGACCATGGTGATGACAGTGGCCATGGTGATGACTGTGGCCATGGTGATGACTGTGGCCATGGTGATGACTGTGACCATGGTGATGACTGTGACCATGGTGATGACTGTGACCATGGTGATGACAGTGGCCATGGTGATGACAGTGGCCATGGTGATGACTGTGACCATGGTGATGACAGTGACCATGGTGATGACTGTGACCATGGTGATGACTGTGACCATGGTGATGACAGTGACCATGGTGATGACTGTGACCATGGTGATGACAGTGGCCATGGTGATGACTGTGACCATGGTGATGACAGTGGCCATGGTGATGACTGTGGCCATGGTGATGACTGTGGCCATGGTGATGACTGTGACCATGGTGATGACTGTGACCATGGTGATGACTGTGACCATGGTGATGACTGTGACCATGGTGATGACAGTGGCCATGGTGATGACTGTGGCCATGGTGATGACAGTGACCATGGTGATGACTGTGGCCATGGTGATGACAGTGACCATGGTGATGACTGTGGCCATGGTGATGACTGTGACCATGGTGATGACAGTGACCATGGTGATGACTGTGACCATGGTGATGACAGTGACCATGGTGATGACTGTGACCATGGTGATGACAGTGGCCATGGTGATGACTGTGGCCATGGTGATGACTGTGGCCATGGTGATGACAGTGGCCATGGTGATGACAGTGACCATGGTGATGACAGTGACCATGGTGATGACTGTGACCATGGTGATGACTGTGACCATGGTGATGACAGTGGCCATGGTGATGACTGTGGCCATGGTGATGACAGTGACCATGGTGATGACTGTGGCCATGGTGATGACTGTGACCATGGTGATGACAGTGACCATGGTGATGACTGTGACCATGGTGATGACAGTGACCATGGTGATGACTGTGACCATGGTGATGACAGTGGCCATGGTGATGACTGTGGCCATGGTGATGACTGTGGCCATGGTGATGACTGTGGCCATGGTGATGACAGTGACCATGGTGATGACAGTGACCATGGTGATGACAGTGACCATGGTGATGACAGTGGCCATGGTGATGACAGTGGCCATGGTGATGACAGTGGCCATGATGATGACAGTGGCCATGGTGATGACAGTGGCCATGGTGATGACTGTGACCATGGTGATGACTGTGGCCATGGTGATGACAGTGGCCATGGTGATGACAGTGGCCATGGTGATGACTGTGACCATGGTGATGACTGTGGCCATGGTGATGACAGTGGCCATGGTGATGACAGTGGCCATGGTGATGACTGTGGCCATGGTGATGACAGTGGCCATGGTGATGACAGTGGCCATGGTGATGACAGTGAACATGGTGATGACTGTGACCATGGTGATGACAGTGGCCATGGTGATGACAGTGACCATGGTGATGACTGTGGCCATGGTGATGACAGTGGCCATGGTGATGACAGTGGCCATGGTGATGACAGTGACCATGGTGATGACTGTGGCCATGGTGATGACTGTGACCATGGTGATGACAGTGACCATGGTGATGACAGTGACCATGGTGATGACTGTGGCCATGGTGATGACAGTGGCCATGGTGATGACAGTGACCATGGTGATGACTGTGGCCATGGTGATGACAGTGACCATGGTGATGACAGTGACCATGGTGATGACTGTGGCCATGGTGATGACAGTGACCATGGTGATGACAGTGGCCATGGTGATGACTGTGACCATGGTGATGACTGTGGCCATGGTGATGACAGTGACCATGGTGATGACAGTGACCATGGTGATGACAGTGGCCATGGTGATGACAGTGACCATGGTGATGACTGTGACCATGGTGATGACTGTGACCATGGTGATGACTGTGGCCATGGTGATGACAGTGACCATGGTGATGACAGTGGCCATGGTGATGACTGTGACCATGGTGATGACTGTGACCATGGTGATGACAGTGGCCATGGTGATGACTGTGGCCATGGTGATGACAGTGACCATGGTGATGACTGTGGCCATGGTGATGACTGTGGCCATGGTGATGACAGTGGCCATGGTGATGACAGTGGCCATGGTGATGACTGTGACCATGGTGATGACTGTGACCATGATGATGACAGTGGCCATGGTGATGACAGTAACCATGGTGATGACAGTGACCATGGTGATGACTGTGACCATGGTGATGACAGTGGCCATGGTGATGACTGTGACCATGGTGATGACTGTGACCATGGTGATGACAGTGACCATGGTGATGACTGTGGCCATGGTGATGACAGTGACCATGGTGATGACTGTGACCATGGTGATGACTGTGACCATGGTGATGACTGTGACCATGGTGATGACAGTGGCCATGGTGATGACAGTGACCATGGTGATGACTGTGACCATGGTGATGACAGTGGCCATGGTGATGACTGTGACCATGGTGATGACAGTGACCATGGTGATGACAGTGACCATGGTGATGACTGTGACCATGGTGATGACAGTGACCATGGTGATGACAGTGACCATGGTGATGACTGTGGCCATGGTGATGACAGTGACCATGGTGATGACAGTGACCATGGTGATGACAGTGACCATGGTGATGACAGTGGCCATGGTGATGACTGTGGCCATGGTGATGACAGTGGCCATGGTGATGACAGTGACCATGGTGATGACAGTGACCATGGTGATGACAGTGGCCATGGTGATGACAGTGACCATGGTGATGACAGTGGCCATGGTGATGACTGTGGCCATGGTGATGACAGTGACCATGGTGATGACTGTGGCCATGGTGATGACAGTGACCATGGTGATGACAGTGACCATGATGATGACTGTGACCATGGTGATGACAGTGGCCATGATGATGACTGTGACCATGGTGATGACAGTGACCATGGTGATGACAGTGGCCATGGTGATGACAGTGACCATGGTGATGACTGTGGCCATGGTGATGACAGTGACCATGGTGATGACTGTGGCCATGGTGATGACAGTGGCCATGGTGATGACTGTGACCATGGTGATGACTGTGACCATGGTGATGACAGTGACCATGGTGATGACAGTGGCCATGGTGATGACAGTGACCATGGTGATGACTGTGACCATGGTGATGACAGTGGCCATGGTGATGACAGTGACCATGGTGATGACAGTGACCATGGTGATGACAGTGGCCATGGTGATGACTGTGACCATGGTGATGACTGTGACCATGGTGATGACTGTGGCCATGGTGATGAAGCGCCCGTCAGTAAGCGCTGCTCCACAGGGACGAGTGGGGAGTCTGCACTGCGCATGATGGGACCCGAATAAAAAAAAATTGTATGGGGGCCCCACCGCGTATGGTGCAGTCTCCAACTATTGTTCACTCAATCTCCCAGGCCTCGATAGCTGTTTGCTGTGAATTTTACGTTGTTGTTGTTGAGAAACCTGTTGAGTTTGCATCACCTGTGCAACCAGGATATACCACCGAATGCTCTGCTATGGTGGCTCTCTGCTGTGCATTCGGGCGTTCCAAGCTCCAAGTTTAGTTTCATCGGACATCGGAGCCCGATGAAACTCAAAGATCCACCGGGCGTCTGCTCAAGAGCGCAATGAAGCGGTTGAACGCGATGACGCGATGTGTCCTTGTGTAATCCACCGATGCACGTGAAGGTGGATGGGCGGGCGGGCGGGCAAGCGGGAGGGCAGATGGACGGACAGACGCACACGCGTGTGCGCTGCCGGTTGGTATATACACGCAGTCCCCGAGATACGAAGGTCCGACTAACGAATATCCGCACTTACGAAAGAACCTCCATCAGTTTAAATTTCGATTTAAAGCTTTCGTGACTGCAGGGATTCATCTTGTTGGTTCTTTCGGTAAAGTCACGTAGAAGGGAAGTAATAAAATAATAAAAATGAAACATAATAAAATAATTCTGACGACGTTTCGGCTGCTTGCGTTGTGGCCGAAACGTCGTGAGAATTATTTTATTGTGTTTTATTTTTATTATTGTATTACTTCCCTTCTACGTGACTTTACCGAAAGAACCAAGATAAACCTCCGTCAGGTTTGGTCGTGCTTACGAACCGAACCGCGGAACTATTTTGTTTGGCGGAGTGATCCTCCGCGAGCATGTGGCTGGGACTCATTACACCCCTTTCAACAAGCGATCAAGATAAGTGAAAACAAAGCGGATTTTTTTTTCATTGTTGCTTTATTTATTTTATATTTACTATACAGCATTTATTGCAGTATTACAAACAAATCTGCAATATTTCTGATTTACGAGTTTAACGCTTCACTTTTTTCATTGAACCATAACACATTTTAAAAACACTTACCATACGCGTGTACTCCAAAAAAGTCCACAAAAACGCATGTCAAAAATGTTATAAATTGATTTGCATTTTAATGAGGGAAATAAGTATTTAACCCCTCTGCAAAACATGACTTAGTACTTGGTGACAAAACCCTTGTTGGCAATCACAGAGGTCAGACGTTTCTTGTAGTTGGCCACCAGGTTTGCACACATCTCAGGAGGGATTTCAATTAAATATCGAGTTCCGAATTACGAACCGTTCGCTTACAAACGGCGTCTCCGGAACGTAACCCGCTCGTAAATCGAGGACTGCCAGTGTATATATTTTTTAAAGCGCGACCGCTCTTACCGCCGCGCCGTGCCTCGCCAGGTGAGCGCCGGCGGGGCCCCAGGTGAGCTCGTGCAAGCGGTCGTTGCCCAGCCAGTGCTCCCCGCTCGGCACGCCGAAGCCGCGCTTGTACTCGCCCCACGTGCGGTTGAAGTCGACGGCGCCGCTCTGCCGTCGCTGGAACACCGTCCAGCCACCGCCGTCTGTCCCCATGTCGCAGAAGGCCTGCGCGTGCGCGCACGCGTGTGTGTGCGCGTGTATGTTCGTGTGTGTGTGTGCGTGCGTGGGTGTGCGTGTGTGTGTGCGCGTGTGTATGGGGGAGCGGTGGTGTAGCGGTTAGCACGCTGCGCTATGAACCCGGCGACACGGGTTCCATTCCCGCTCACGGCCAACACCAGTGACGATTATCTCAAATGGTCCTAGGCCTCCCTTAGGTCGATTCAGCATCAAATAAGTAAACATCACCACTGGGAAGCTTGGTGGTGTTCATTCAGACGCTGTCTTTCCGACAGACCTGTTCTTCACCTGAGGACGGCTGATTGCGTTGTGGCCGAAACGTCGTGAGAATTGTATTTTATTATGTTTTATTCTTATTATTTTATTATTTCCCTTCTACGTGACTTTACCGAAAGAACCAAGAAGATGAATCCCTGCAGCCACGAAAGCTTTAAATCGAAACTTAGTGACTTCTCTGTTTTCCACTGCCATCGTTTTTTTATTGTTTGTTATAACTCGCCGACCCACGCCCCCTCGTTGGACACCTGTGAAAAAAGAGCTTCATAGCTCATCGGATTCCTCCTCCAGTCCAAACAAAGACTCCCCATTCTGATTCATCCGAGGGCTTCCATCGGACACGGTGATGCAATCTGAAAGCCAGCAGACGGCACGGACGGTTGGAATTTCACGTCTTGACTTTCGAGCAAACATCTGACGGAGTCGCCGGGGCCAGATCAGAGGGTCCGGCCCATGCGGCGTTTCAAGGTTCAAGTTTAGAAAAGTTTATCTTTGGGGCCTCTCTGTGTTATTTTTGGAAACTTGGCATCGTAGCTCGCCACGGTCGGGTCGCGAAGCTGCTGAAACTCGCGAATGCGCGTGGCATTTCAGACGTTCTACGAAGTATTTCATCACAGGGTGCGTTTAAAAACTGAACTGGAAAAGCAATTTTTTATTTTATTTTACCAGTTAAGGCCCCACTGAGCTACATAACTATTTTTCAGAAGCGACCCTGGCCATCACGAATGATCGTCGCGTGGAAATGTATAGCAGCCAAATACTCTGAACGCGTGGTGTTGATTCTAAATGTGGAGGGGAAAAGCCGGAGGACCCGGAGAAAAATCCACGCGACCACGGGGAGAGAGAGAGACACGCAAACTCCAAGTACACAGCAGCAGGCGTCAGGGTCGGGATCGAACCCACGACCTCCTGCATACCAGTCGAGGCAGTTAACATCTCCTAGCCACCGTGATGATGATGATGAGAGAGAAACACGCAAACTCCAAATATACAGCAGCAGCAGGCGTCAGGATCGGGATCGAACCCACGACCTTCTGTACACCAGGCGAGGTAGTTAACATCTCCTAGCCACCGTGGCGCCCCACTTTTAACACAAGATTTGATCATACGTCAAAGGTGATCTCCTGCTGCTCAAATAAGCAGTGAGGCATTGGTGCTCATCTCCTAGGTATAGCCCTGCAAAGCCAATGGTGGGAATTCCACATTCCTATGACGGGGTCGAATATCTCCACAGGAGACAAACCATTTGCCTCCCCCCACAGTAGCACTGCTGTACTCATTCGATTGACCCCGAAGGGATGTTTCTATGCATATTGAACATCTTTCCCATCGTACGTAGCCAACCTTGCTAATCGGATGTGCGGGGGAAGAAGTAATTGGCCAAATCAACCCCCACCCCCCCTAACCATGATACGACCCGACGACATTTTTCGATCGCGAGCCGCTCTCGGCCTTGTCTAAGACGTGCACGCAATGCATGATGGGAGTCGTGCCCTTTCCGCCCTTTTTTGAGCAGCACCTCTACGCGCTGTGGAACCAAGTTGCTCTTCCAGCCTGCCCTGGTGCATTCTCCTGCTGATAACAATTTCTCATCGATGGCTTTGCATCCTACTGCTTTGTGTTCTTGCTCGTAGCAACACCGTCCGTCTGTCTCCCTCTCTTTTATTTTTACGATCAGTGGAAACAAGAAGATGCTCAGTGTATTCGGCACTTTGCTTCGTTCATCATTTCGTATATATTTTTTTTATAATAACTTTGCTTTATGTAAACCCCCACCTCTCGCTCACTCTCTCGCTCACTCTCTCGCTCACTCTCTCGCTCACTCTCTCTCGCTCACTCTCTCGCTCACTCTCTCACTCACTCTCTCGCTTACTCTCTCGCTCACTCTCTCTCGCTCACTCTCTCGCTCACTCTCTCTCGCTCACTCTCTCGCTCACTCTCTCACTCACTCTCTCGCTTACTCTCTCGCTCACTCTCTCTCGCTCACTCTCTCGCTCACTCTCTCTCGCTCACTCTCTCTCGCACACTCTCTCTCGCTCACTCTCTCTCGCTCACTCTCTCGCTCACTCTCTCACTCACTCTCTCTCGCTCACTCTCTCGCTCACTCTCTCGCTCACTCTCTCACTCACTCTCTCGCTCACTCTCTCTCGCTCACTCTCTCGCTCACTCTCTCTCGCACACTCTCTCGCTCACTCTCTCTCGCTCACTCTCTCTCGCACACTCTCTCGCTCACTCTCTCGCTCACTCTCTCTCGCTCACTCTCTCGCTCACTCTCTCACTCACTCTCTCGCTTACTCTCTCGCTCACTCTCTCTCGCTCACTCTCTCGCTCACTCTCTCTCGCACACTCTCTCGCTCACTCTCTCTCGCTCACTCTCTCTCGCACACTCTCTCGCTCACTCTCTCGCTCACTCTCTCGCTCTCTCCCTCTCTGTCCGACTGTCTGTCTGTCTGTCATGGGAAGGAAACTTAACCTCGAATGGCTCCCGAGACGCTGCGGGCTGGATGGTGTAGATGCCATCATCGGTGATTCCCTGCTTGAAAATCTCGGCGCAGTCCTGGGGGAAGCCTCCATCGAAGTAATCCGCGTCTTCGCCTGTAACGAGCAGCAGGGCCGGGTAGGGTCGGGGGAGGGGGGCAGCCACAGGTGTCAAGAGGTCCGTGGATCCGGCAGCGCACGTGGTTTCACCAGTTGATGGTGCCCAACGTGTATGTATAGTTTTAAACAAGTTTGTCAATCATGCTACACACGTCACCCTGCTGCTGCTCTATATAAGAACGGGAGACAGAGCAGAGCCCCTCACCATTCTGGCGAATTGCCCGATGATGCTAGATGCAATTACCAGCGAAACGTCGTACTACTCAAATTGTAAATGTTGTGGTTTCACGCTTCAACACACCGGTGGGCTAAAGCAATGAACTATTTGTCTTTTGTCAACGTGACACTTTTTTACTGATTGGCCGTGTCGGGTGGTGGAGGGTTACGACACATTTATAAATAACGCGATCTAAACCCAAAAACGTTGATTATGAATTGTCAATCATGGTTGATTATTTAAAAGTATAATATCGAAATGAAGGGCGATCCGGACGGCAGCAAAAGCGCATCCAAAAGCGAGCAGCGATGCGGTGACCGCCGCCTTTGTTTGATGGCCAGCCAGAAGCCACTGCGAGGAGTACACGTGATGGTTTGATGTTACAGCCAAGAGCTGTGGATGCCACCGTCACCGCCTCGCTAGCAACACGTTACACCCGGTGCCAGATCCCGCAGCTGCAGCTGTTTGCACAGTGGACACGCAGAGACCCACTCGCACAGTGACCCACACACTCACACAGAGACCCACACACACACTCACACAGAGACACACACACTCACACAGAGACACACACACTCACACAGAAACCCACACACACACTCGCACAGAGACCCACACACTCACACAGAGACCCACACACACTCACACAGAGACACACACACACGCAGAGACCCACTCGCACACTCACACAGAGACACACACACTCACACAGAGACCCACACGCAGAGACCCACACACTCACACAGAGACCCACACACACACTCACACAGAGACACACACACACGCAGAGACCCACTCGCACACTCACACAGAGACACACACACTCACACAGAGACCCACACGCAGAGGCCCACACACTCACACAGAGACCCACACACTCACACAGAGACCCACACACTCGCACAGAGACCCACACACTAGCACAGAGACCCACACACTCACACAGAGCCACACACTCACACAGAGACCCACACGCTCGCAGAGAGACTCACACACTCGTACAGAGACCCACACACTCACACAGAGACCCACACACTCACACAGAAACCCACACACTCACACAGACACCCACACACTCACACAGAGACCCACACACAGAGACCCACACGCAGAGGCCCACACAATCACACAGAGACCCACACACTCGCACAGAGATCCACACACTCGCACAGAGACCCACACACTCACACAGAGACCCGCACACTCGCACAGAGACCCACACACTCGCACAGAGACCCACACACTCACACAGAGACCCGCACACTCACACAGAGACCCACACACTCACACAGAGACCCACACAGAGACCCACACACACAGAGACCCACACACTCACACAGAGACCCATACACTCACACAGAGACCCACACACTCACACAGAGACTCACACAGAGACACACACACTCACACAGAGATCCACACACTCGCACAGAGACCCACACACTCGCACAGAGACCCACACACTCACACAGAGACCCGCACACTCACACAGAGACCCACACACTCACACAGAGACCCACACAGAGACCCACACACACAGAGACCCACACACTCACACAGAGACCCATACACTCACACAGAGACCCACACACTCACACAGAGACTCACACAGAGACACACACACTCACACAGAGACACACACACTCACACAGAGACACACACTCACACAAAGACACACACACTCACACAGAGACTCACACACTCAAACAGAGACCAACACGCTCACATAGAGACACACACACTCACACAGAGACCCACAGACTCGCACAGAAATACACACACACTCGCACAGAGACCCACACACTCACACAGAGACCCACACACTCATACAGAGACTCACACACACAGAGACCCACACACTCACACAGAGACACACTCACACAGAGACCCACACACTCACACAGAGACCCACACATTCACACAGAGCCTCACACACTCACCCATATACTCACAGGGAGCCCGATAAACTCACAGAAACTCACACAGATACATAGACTCACAGAGAGACCCATAGACTCACAGATAAACCCATAGGCTCACACAGAGACCCATATATCTGGCCTCCAACGCCATTCTGGATGCCATTGCCTCTCTCCACATCCTGCACCACGCGTGCCACCCACCCAGCGCAGCTGCTTTTGAGCAGCTGTTATCGGCGAAAGTGGCTGCCCTCTGACAATGAGTGAACACTGCTGCCGAGGGTATTTGGCCTACTCTCCCATGCTGGGCACGCGTCCTGGAAGGGTCGGCAGAAGCCACACTAAACCCCACCGCTCATAACCCGCCAATCAACTGTCTGCGGTGTGCCAATTAATACGGTGACATCATCATCATCATTATCATCGGATTCTAGATTTGAAGCTTTCGTGACTGCAAGGATTCATGTTCGGAGGTTTTTTCGGTAAAGTCACGTAGGTAAAAAATTAAAATTAATAAAAGTAAAATAAAAATAAAATAAAATCACGACGTTTCGGAGGCAACACAAGCTCCCGTCTTCAGGTGGAACCGTCACAGCACGACTGCTGTATCAAGTAGCTGTATCAAGTATCCTCTCACTTGATACAGCTATCGTGCTGTGACGGTTCCACCTGAAGACGGAAGCTTGTGTTGTCTCCGAAACGTCGTGATTTTATTTTATTTTTATTTTACTTTTATTAATTTTTATTTTTTACCTACGTGACTTTACCGAAAAAACCTAAGAATATTATCATAAGACACGGTTAATCCACTGCTGCATGAAGGCCACCTTTAACCTGCACACGCAAACTCATTTCCTCGCTCGGGTGTCCGGTAGGTTTCTATTCCATCCCTCGGCTTCCACTCTGTTGTTCGTCTTGACCATCTGTGATCATCGTCCGTTCGAGCAAACGCGTCCTGCCCAAGCCCGACATACGGGCGCCACGGTGGCGAGATGTTAACTACCTCGCCTGGTATACAGGGGATTGTGGGTTCGATCACGACCCTGACGCCTGCTGCTGTATATTGGAGTTTGCGTCTCTCTCTCTCTCTCATCATCATCACGGTGGCTAGGAGATGTTAACTACCTCGCCTGGTATACAGGGGATTGTGGGTTCGATCACGACCCTGACGCCTGCTGCTGTATATTTGGAGTTTGCGTGTCTCTCTCTCTCATCATCACGTTGGCTAGGAGATATTAGCTACCTCGCTTGGCATGCAGGAGGTCGTGGGTTCGATCACGACCCTGACGCCTGCTGCTGTATATTTGGAGTTTGCGTGTCTCTCTCTCTCATCATCATCACGGTGGCTAGGAGATGTTAACTACCTCGCTTGGCATGCAGGGGATCGTGGGTTCGATCACGACCCTGACGCCTGCTGCTGTATATTTGGAGTTTGCGTGCCTCTCTCTCTCATCATCATCACGGTGGCTAGGAGATGTTAACTACCTCGCTTGGCATGCAGGAGGTCGTGGGTTCGATCACGACCCTGACGCCTGCTGCTGTATATTTGGAGTTTGCGTGTCTCTCCGTCTCATCATCATCACGGTGGCTAGGAGATGTTAACTACCTCTCCTGGTATGCAGGAGGTCGTGGGTTCCATCCCGACCCTGACGTCTGCTGCTGTATATTGGAGTTTGCGTGTCTCTCTCTCTCATCATCATCACGGTGGCTAGGAGATGTTAACTACCTCGCCTGGTACACAGGAAGTCGTAGGTTCCATCTCGTCCCTGACGCCTGCTGCTGCTGTATTTGGAGTTTGCATGATTCTCTCTCCGTGGTCGCGTGGGTATTTCTCCGGTTCCTCCGGTTTTACCCTGCACATTTAGAATTAGCATTCGTTTAAGAGTATTCGGCTGCTGTAAATGTCCACGTGATGATGATGATGATAAGGGGCCGTCCATAAATGACGTCACCCGATTTTGGACAATTTTTGACTCCCCCCCCCCCCCCCCCTCGTCACACGGCGTCACAAAAAGTCAGACCCCCCCCCCCTCAAATATGACGTCACAAAGCTCTGCCCCCCCTCAAAAACATATTTCCATTTTGAAAATAAAACATGCTTCACATCGCTTTAAACTATTGTCATTGTAGTGCGTATTTAATGTGGCGCTGCACTCTGATGTTGTAGGAGAAAACATGTATTAAGAAGTCTATTTAATTAAGTAGAACGTGTTGTCAATATTTATTTAAAGTTGCGCATTTTGATGTGACGTCGCATTTCTCAAACCCCCCCCCCCCCTCGTCACACATCGTCACAAATGTCTGACCCCCCCCCCCCCTAGGTGCGTGACGTCATTTATGGACGGCCCCTAAGCCGTTTTGTTGATCAGCTATCATTTGTGATGGCCAGGGTCGCTTCTGAAAAATAAACCCGTAAAAACTAAGTTTTTAACTATAATCCTTTATATGCGTGGCATCGGTTTTATTTTATTATTCATTTCTGTTTTTCTTGAGTAAGAGTCTCATTTTTATCACATTGGTATTTTAAATTAAGTATACATTTTTTTCCCTAAAAAGTGGAAAATTTTGGAAAAATGTTTTCACGCAAATAAATTGTCACTCACAACGAGTCTGTGTGCAAAATGTCAGCTCGATTGGATCACGGGAAGTGGGTTAAAAAACGACCGAAAGATTTGCACGGTCGTAAGCAAGCAAGCAAGTGAACTTAATATAAAGGATTTAATAATAAGTATAACCCGTAAAAACAAAGTTTTTCACTATAAATCCTTTATATGCGTGGCAGCGAACTTAATATAAAGGATTTAAAAATATATTCGCCTGTGGAAGACGCAGGGATCGATCCCGCGACCTTTGGCATGGGAAGCGAGGGCGCTACCAACTGCGCTACTCCACACGGCCTATGGAGGGGTTACGCTCTGGGCTCTTACACTCTGACGTTCAGCCAAAGCCATGAATGCGTTCTATTTGAATATATGTAAAATAATGTTTTTTTGCCTAAAAAGTGTAAAATTTTGGGAATTTTTTTGACGAACAATAATTGTCTGGCACAACGAGTCTGTGTGGAAAATGTCAGCTCGATTGGATCACGGGAAGTGGGTTAAAAAACGACAGAAATATTTTCACAGTCGTAAGCGCGCAAGCAAGCAAGCAAGTGAACTTAATATAAAGGATTTAAAAAAAGAGCTACACAGCTGAGTGAGACCTGACACCTGGAGAAATAAAAGTAGTTTACGTTAAAATAGTTTTAGATAAAAAAAATGTTTTAACAAAATTAAGAAGTAATAATGAAAATAATGAAAACTTTAAGAAATAAATTAGAAAAATCTATCAATTTATAATAAATATTATTTACTCTTTGGTTCTTTCGGTAAAGTCACGTAGAAAGAAAATAAGTTAAATATAGAGTACAACGTTTCGATGAAACGTTTCGATTAATCATCGTACTCTATTATTTAATTAAATTATTTCTACGTGACTTTACCGAAAGAACCAAATAGTATCTTCTTGGTTCTTTCGGTAAAGTCACGTAGAAGGGAAATAATAAAATAATAAAAATAAACGCAGCCGTTGTGGCCGAAACGTCGTGAGAATTATTTTATTATGTTTTATTTTTCTTATTTTCTAATTTCCCTTCTACGTGACTTTACCGAAAGAACCAAGAAGATGAATCCCTGCAGTCACGAAAGCTTTAAATCAAAATTTACCGAAGAGTAATTCCTGCAGTCACGAAAACTTCAAATCAAATATTATTGAACAAAATAAAAAAAACACAATTTATAACAAAATATTCCAACGCTTATAATTTACAAAAAAAAAATTATCCGACGAAAAAACCTCTCTCTCTGTCTCTCTCTGCTTTGCAACGCGGTGGGACCGCACCTCGCCTCGAGTGCACGCGCACGCGGCTCCCCCGCGCTCCTCGCGGGCACGCGCCGGCTCGCGGGGCACAGCGACGCGTCTCTTGGCGCAGCGCCACGCAACTCGGAGTTGTTCATCGCCGCTGTGCAGACAGCGCGCCGCCACCGCTACCGCTACCGCCACTACAGCCACAGCCACCACCGCTACCGCCACAACCACCACCACAGCCACCACCGCCACCGCTACCACCACCACAGCCACCACCACAGCCACCGCCATAGCCACCACCACCACAGCCACCACCACAGCCACAACCACAACCACAGCCACCACAGCCACAGCCACCACCACCACAGCCACCACCACCACAGCCACCACCACCACAGCCACAGCCACCACCACCACAGCCACCACCACCACAGCCACCACAACCACCACCACAACCACCACAACCACCACAACCACCGCCGCTGGCACTGTGCGCCGTGACCCCCCACCGCGCCTTCTGCCTCCCCCCACGTGGGCAGAGTTCCGCTTCGCAGCGACAACAACACGGACACGAAGACGTCTCTCCCGGTGCCAGGGGACCCGCTCGGGTTGACGTCTTCGCCAAACGATTTCATTGCACTCCGATTTCCTACTTCACTTCTAATGTTTATGTCACCAGGTCGAGGCCTCCGCTGAGCTACAGAGCTCTTCTTGAGAAGCGAACCCGGTCATCACAAATGATGAGCTTTAACGAAGTGGCTCATCATCATCATCATCACGTGGGAATGTATAGCAGCCGAATTACTCTAAATTGCGTGTTGATACTAAATGTGGAGGGGGAAACAACGGAGGATTCTGAGAAATATCCACGCGACCACCGGGGAGGGAGAGAGGCACGCAAACTCCAAAATATACAGCAGCAGGCGTCAGGGTCGGGATCGAACCCACGAACCTCCTACATACCAGCCGAAGGATTCAACATCTCATAGCCACCGTGATGATGATGATGATGAGATAGAGACACGCAAACTCCAAATATACAGCAGTAAGTGTCAGGGTCGGGATCGAACCCACGAACCTCCTACATACCAGCCGAAGGATTCAACATCTCATAGCCACCGTGATGATGATGATGATGAGATAGAGACACACAAACTCCAAATATACAGCAGCAGGCGTCAGGGTCGGGATCGAACCCACGACCTCCTCCATACCAGGTGAAGGCTTTAACATCTCCTAGCCACCGTGATGATGATGAGATAGAGAGACACAAACTCCAAATATACAGCAGCAGCAGGCATCAGGGTCGGGATCGAACCCACGACTTCCTGCATACCAGGCGAGGTAGTTAACATCTCCTAACCACTGTGCCAACCCTCTTATTTTGTCCGACAGCGAATATGGGGACGCGTGGCTTTGTTAAATCCGTTCGAGTGAGCATCAGTGACCAATCTCTCCTGATGATTCCTAATATGGACAAAACCACCGTCAGCTCTGCGGCCGGTGAGTCGGTCACATCTGCTGAAATGTATTTTGATGGTGGCTTACGACAAGAGCGTCGCCATGCAGCGCTTCGGGAACTGGTGGGTGGTTTCTGCACAATGCACAAAGATCGAATGCTCTTTGTGCACGCTTCTGTGTTGTGAAGGGGTTCTTTTAGTCAGGTAATGTCTCACATTAACTCTAGATTTGAAGCGTTCTTGATACAGCAAATCTGGCTGTGACGGTCCCACCTGATGACGGAGACTTGTGTTGCCTCCGAAACGTCGTAAATTTTATTAGTTTATTTTTTATTAATTTTAATTTAATTTTTTACCTACGTGACTTTACCAAAACAACTAAGAGTTTGAATTCTCACATTAACATCGTGCTAATCCCTCACATGAACATAGCCACTTCCGTGCCCCTGTCAAGGAAGCCGCTCTCTTCCTATCTTACAGTAACATGCTCATTCATCACTTTAACATTACTAGCCCCGGCCAATTCTTTATGACCCTTGGGCTACACCCATTTCAAACTTTTTAAAACAGTCTGCAGCAGACCACGCTTTCCCACCTGATGATGGACGCTTGTGTTGCGCCCGAAACGTCGTGATTTATTTTATTTTCTACCTACGTGACTTTACCGAAAGAACCAAAGTGTATAGATCTCTGCATTCACGAAAGCTTCAAATCAAGATTAACGTCATCTATTAGAGATTTGATCAAAAATATAAATATTTCTGAATTGGCCGTTGTAACATTCTCGTAAGATCGTATTGACCGCTCAGCGATTGGATAGAGGGCGCACACATATACACGTACTGCCCTTTCTGCCAATCCACTGCTGGATGGGATGCCTCCCAATGCCGTGAGGATGAAGCAGGGATGATTATTGACCAAATGTTGGGAAGTGACGGTTGGTGGAGGCGGGGCGCATAGATGTTTGGATTAGAGCACAGTACAACAATGTACTTTGCTGCTCCACTCACTCACTGCTGCATGTATGTTTAACTTCTTTCGCACCGTACGTAGCCAACCGTGCTAATTGGAGGCGCGGGGGAAGGACAACACACGACACGCAAAAAACAGTTCCAAAGAAATGAGTTTACAATTGCGATTTAAAAGTGCATAGCCCCAGCAGCGTCCTAATGTCGGAAGGAAGTGAGTTCCAGACGTCTAAGCACTACCCTGCTTAGCGCCTGAGATCTAAGCAAGAGGTGGGGGAGGGGGTGGGGAGAGTGCAAGACATTTGGAAAGGTAGATATGTCAAAGAATGAGGCGATGGCATAGGAGGATGGATACTACCAGAATCCAGATGAAAATCTTCACTCGCATCGGACGCATCTGCAATGAAATGCGGGTGGACAATTAGCGTTCTTCATCGTGGTGGACAATCACCGTTCTTCATCAGGGTGGACAGGCTCACGAGACGGCAACTGTCGTCAGCCCGCGTCAGGATCCGTTGTCACGTGATGTTTGGTTGTGATTCCCTGCTCGATCGAGCGTCTAGGCGGTGCTTCGATCCTGCTCTGAGCCAGTGGTGGAAATTCCACGTTCGTATGGCAGGATTGAGGGTTAGTTTCTGCACCGGACAACCGCCGCTGTTGACCTCCGCCTCCCCGCAGATTGGTAGGTATTTTGTCAACCCCCGGAGAGATGATGGGCTGAGTCACGCCTGTCCCCCGCACCCCCCCCCCCCTCCGTTCTCCCCAACCAGGGATTGAACTCGTGACCTTCTGATTGCGAGCCGCTCGCTCTACGGCTGAGAAGCAGCGAAGCTAAACGTGTGGTTATTTGAATGAAAGCGCTCTCTGTTTGCGCTCTTCACGTTGACCCGATATGAGTCGAGTCACTTCCCGTTGTCCAAAACAAAATTGGCTCCCCTTAGCAGCCCCAACACTGGCTTCATGAACAACAACAACAACCACAACAACAGACTCAACGCGATCGTCAATAACACTTTTGGCGTCATCTGGTCCAACCCATGTGAGACTAGGCTCTAAGGAAAGCTGTCTCGGGTGTGGACCAATCAACTTCAAGGACAGTGCATACAGAGTTATGTTTTTTGTTTACATTATGACTGCAGGTATTGTGGTCTATGCAAACATGATTCCTTGTAAAAATGGTGTCAGTTTTGTTGCCAGATAGAAGGGTAAAAAAACAATTATCAACACTGTGGTCGTAAAAAAATATATATTTATAAAACAAGCGACATTAACTCCCGATGGCACGTGGTGTTTGGCGAGGAGCTCATCCAGCAGTGGATCCACGTACCGAGCGTGCCGTCGTACTCCGCAGAGTCTGGGATGAAGCTCTCAGTTTCCTCGAGGGACTTTGGCTGGAGGCTCCCTGAGGAATGAGCCGAGAGACACGAGAGAGGGGGAATGGAGAGTGAGAGAGCCTTTTATTGCCGCCAGCAGCAACAGCACTGGAGGCGATTCCGATATGAAATACACAAAGTCACCAGCAAACAAATAACAAACATAATCAAATACAACATAATTAAATAATTCTCACGACGTTTCGGCCACAACGCAAGCAGCCGTCCTCAGGTGAAGACCTGGTCTTCACGCAAGCAGCCGTCCTCAGGTCTTCACCTGAGGACGGCTGCTTGCGTTGTGACTTTACCGAAAGAACCAAGAAGATGAAACCCTGCAGTCACGAAAGCTTTAAATCGAAAAATAACCAACACTTTAAATCCACTCGCTGTGGCCCTAAATGCGCCGCGCACATCGGTGGCAGAAGACGGGGAACTCTGCATGCAGATCTGAGCTACCCGTCGGAGGCCGTAAGACTGCGAGAAGGGCTGCGTGCAGATGCAGCGCTTGTCGTGAAATATATTTAAAAAATATTGCAAATATTACGTATAAAACAGGGGGTATATAGACATGGAGTAGGGAGAGAGGGGGTAGAGAAAGAGGGGGGGGGGGGGGTAGAGAGAGGGGTAGAGACAGAGGGAAGGGGTAAAGAGAGCAGAGCGGGGGGGTTACATGAAGCAAAGCATTGAAAAAATTACTAAATGATGAACGAAGCAAAGTGCCGACTACACCGAGCATCTTCTTGTTTTCTCTGATCGTAAAAGAGAGAGAGAGAGAGAGAGCGAGGGAGGGTCGCCGTGAGAATGTAAACGCAGCATCCCAACACCCGATATCGTCGTCAGCTGCTCCCCGAAATTTCGTGGCTTCAACTTTTTTTCCCACCAGGTGAGGCCTCACTGAGCTGTGTAGCAGCTCTTTTTGTCAGAAGCGACCTGGCGATCACAAATGACAGCCCAACGAAGTGGCTCATCATCATCATCACGTGCAGATTTATAGCAGCCGAATAACTCTAAACGCGTGACGTTGATTCTAAATGTGGAGAGAGAAACCGGAAGACCCGGAGAAGAATCCACGCGACCACGGGGAGAGAGACACGCAAACTCCAAATATACAGCAGCAGGCGTCAGGGTCGGGATCGAACCCACGACCTCCTGTATACCAGGAGAGGTAGTTAACATCTCCTAGCCACCGTGATGATGAGAGAGAGAAGCACACAAACTCCATATATACAGCAGCAGGCGTCAGGGTTGGGATCGAACCCATGACCTCCTGTACACCAGGCGAGGTAGTTAACATCTCCTAGCCACCGCAAACCGCTTTGTCCACATCCGAGCGAGCAGTTGAGCAACAAGGACGCGGCCCTGTCTGGCCGTGGCGAAGGCGCTCGCTTGCAAATGAATCTCCTGCACGTGGACGTCTCTGCAACCAGTTGCACAGCCAGTTTCCAGTTGCGAAACTGCCACTGTTGCTGGTGCTGCTGATCAGAATCTTTCGAATCTTTAGAAAATGTGTTTTGTATGTAGCCTGAAGGAATCCGATGCCCCACCAAGCTCCATTTAACCCGTGTCCAGTGCATCGCAGATGTCCAGATGATGGGTACGGACACGATACAATGTGGATTTATATTCAGCATCGAAATGCAACGACATCTCACCACACTGAGAGAGAGAGAGGGAGAGGCGGGGAGTAGAGAGGAAGGTCTTGAAGCTAAACAGGGGCAAGGAGTGAGATGAGAGGGGAGAGGTAGGAGAGTGCATGGAGGGGAGGAGAGTGAGATGAGAGGGGAGAGGTAGGAGAGTGCGTGGAGGGGAGTAGAGGGAGATGAGAGGGGAGAGGTAGCAGAGTGCGTGGAGGTGTGTAGAGTGAGATGAGAGGGGAGAGGCAGGAGAGTGCATGGAGGAGAGTGTAGTGAGATGAGAGGGGAGAGGTAGGAGAGTGTGTGGAGGGGAGTAGAGTGAGATGAGAGGGGAGATGCAGGAGAGTGCGTGGAGGAGAGTGTAGTGAGATGAGAGGGGAGAGGTAGGAGAGTGTGTGGAGGGGAGTAGAGTGAGATGAGAGGGGAGAGGCAGGAGAGAGCGTGAAGGGGAGTGTAGTGAGATGAGAGGGGAGAGGCAGGAGAGTGCGTGGAGGGGAGTAGAGTGAGATGAGAGGGGAGAGGTAGGAGAGTGCGTGGAGGGGAGTGGAGTGAGATGAGAGGGGAGAGGCAGGAGAGTGCGTGGAGGGGAGTGGAGTGAGATGAGAGGGGAGAGGCAGGAGAGTGCGTGGAGGGGAGTGTAGTGAGATGAGAGGGGAGAGGCAGGAGAGTGCGTGGAGGGGAGTAGAGTGAGATGAGAGGGGAGAGGCAGTAGAGTGCGTGGAGGGGAGTGTAGTGAGATGAGAGGGGAGAGGTAGGAGAGTGCGTGGAGGGGAGTAGAGTGAGATGAGAGGGGAGAGGTAGGAGAGTGCGTGGAGGAGAGTGTAGTGAGATGAGAGGGGAGAGGCAGCAGAGTGCGTGGAGGGGAGTAGAGTGAGATGAGAGGGAAGAGGTAGGAAAGTGCGTGGAGGGGAATGGAGTGAGATGAGAGGGGAGAGCGAGGAGAGTGCGTGGATGATCTTGGTGACGCTGCGATCTTGGGAGTGACCGGGGTTTGGATTAGGAGCGAGTGGAGGGATCGAGGCGAGATGCATTCCTCTTACCGCTCAGCAGAGGCTGGGGCCCACCGCTCACCACTCGTGCCACCGAATTGAGAAGAAGGATGAGTGAGAGCTTCATCGTGATTTTCTCCAGAGCTTCTACGAGACAAAGACAAAGATTCCCCAGGTAAGCCTTGACCAGACTATATTCAGGTGGAACCGTCACAGCACGACTGCTGTGACGGTTCCACCTGAAGACGGAAGCTTGTGTTGCCTCCGAAACGTCGTGATTTTTATTTTACTTTCATTAATTTTAATTTTTAACCTACGTGATTTTACCGAAAAAACCTAAGAATATGAATCCTTGCAGTCACGAAAGCTTCAAATCTATAACTTGACCAGACTGTTGGGAAAAGTGCTGTTAGTGAGTAGCACCTATGAAAGCCGGCACGGCACACGAGTGGGTGGGTGACCGGCAACACGCCCGACCGCCTTTGTCTCCCCAGTGGCGATGTTTTTTACGCACCGCACCAGGTACTCATTTGATACTCAGCCGACCTCGGGGAGGCCTAGGACCCGTTCAGATCATCGTCACTGGGTGTTCGCCATTAGCGGGAATCGAACTCGGGTAGCCGGCTTCGTAGTTACAGCGTACTCTCGCACGCACACACAGACACAGCGGCAAGGAGCGGCGATCCACACTCCACTTTGCCCTGAATTCAGACTCCACTTCGCATTTTTCGAATTTCCCAAACACGTGCGCTCGGTGAAAGTAGTCTTTCCTTTTGGCAGCGCCTGGCATTTGGTGATTTTTAAAAAAGAAAACGCCAAAACCCGTGACGGAGTGGCCAGAACGACTGGACCGGACTGGACTTTGAAATCTCTACAAAAAGCCTTTTTGCAATGGAAGGGTACTCTCGCACGCACACACAGCGGCAAGGAGCGGCGATCCACACTCCACTTTGCCCTCAATTCAGACTCCACTTCGCATTTTTCGAATTTCCCAAACACGTGCTCTCGGTGAAAGTAGTCTTTCCTTTTGGCAGCGCCTGGCATTTGGTGAATAAAAAAAAAAGAAAACGCCAAAACGCGTGGCGGAGTGGCCAGAACGACTGGACCGGGACTGGACGTAGCGCCCGCTCCATCAGCCACACGAATTTTTGAAATCTCCACGAAAAGTTTTTTTGCACGGAAGGGCGAAGAGATGCACGTCTGGAATTACAATTACAAATCGAAAGTAAAATGAATCAACAAGCATAACCGCTAACTTTTATTGCGTACGTTTTATATATAAACACATATGTACACATGGCTATCTACATATAGCCAGGTGTACAGGTGTGTATATATATCGGCAGGTGAGAGAGTTAATGAAGCCAGAAGTCACACAGGTCGCACCTCCAATAGGTGCGATTTCACACCTCCAATTATCGCGGTTGGCTACATACGCCGTGAAAGAAGCCCGAGACACACACACGTACACAAACATCTACACATACATCCACGCACACATATACACACACACATATACACACACACATACACACACATCGACACACACACACATCTACACACACATACATCTACACACACATCTACACACACACACACACATCGACACACAGATCTACACACACACACATCTACACACACACACATCGACACACACACACACACACATCTACACACACACATACATCTACACACACGCATACACACACACACATACACACACATACACACACACATCGACACACACATCTACACACACACATACACACACATCTACACACATACACACACACATACACACACATCTACACACACACATAGACACACATCTACACACACACATACACACATAGACACACATCTACACACATACACATACACACATCTACACACACACATACACACACACATACACACACACATACACACACATCTACACACACACATACACACACACATCTACACACACACATCTACACACATACACATCTACACACAACAACAACAACCGCCATTCGCCACTAAGTGGCGGTGACGTCACCACGACGCTTGTGCCAGGCCAAGTGCACCTTGAGGCCACGTGAAGTGTCGAACGCCCGCTGGCAGGAGATCACGGGGCAGACCCAGGTACCACGGGTCGACTGACCGAGATGACTGAGATGACTGGCTGATGCGCCACCTGTGCCCCCTACCGTACCAACTTGCTGTGCTTTAGCCACACGGCTCTCCGCTCGTTGTTGTGAGCGTCGCTCCTCCGCCCTCTGTTGTTGTTGGAGGGCGACTGCCTCCAACTGCCCAGTAGCGTCCTTCACGAGCCTCCTCCACTGAGGCCGATCTTGACACCGCTGGTACCAGTCATCGGCAAGTCCACTCAGCTCCACGTCCTCCTGTACCACATCACTCCATCTCTTCTCTAGCCCGTGCCTGGCCCGTTTAGCCCCCTCGATCCGGCCGAACAAAAGCTGTTTAGTCATGCGGTAGCTGGGCATGCGGGCTACATGACCCAGCCAACGCAGCCTTGCCTGCCGGAGGAGCTCACCGATGGGACTTTGCCCAGATCTTTCAAGGATTTGTGAGCTCCTCACACAATCCAGCCTGGTTAAACCCAGGATGGATCGTAGGCAGGCCAGCCTAAATGTTTCTAACCGACGAAGATGCTCGATTAGGAGGGTTCACGTTTCGCGAGCGTAGAGAAGGGAGGGAATGACCGTGGCCGAGAAGACCTGAAGCTTCGTGCGGAGCGACAGACCAGGTAGCTTCCACACAGCGTTACGCAACCGATGAAAATATATTGCCGCTCGACTGATTCGGAGTGAGACCTCTGCTGTTAAACTGGAGCCGGTCATAAGCACACTGCCCAGGTATGGGAAACTCTCCACTCTCTCCACTACTGCCCCATCACCGATTGGGAGTTGTGGGGGTGGAGTGTCCGATGGTACAAAATACCCAGGCAGGTGCTTAGTTTTGGTGGGGCTGATGGTAAGGCCCCACCTCTTAGTGGCACGCTCCAGTCTCAGCAGCAGCGTCTCCAACTCCTCCTCTGAATGAGCAGCTATTACCAAATCATCGGCATGCATAACGTGGTTGACCAATACATACACACACACACATACACACACACACATACACACATAAACACATACATACACACATCTACGTGTATGTCCACCCAACAGCAGCATGACGTATGAATGAGTAAACCACAGTTTGCGATCCAGAATGAACGCCTCATTCGAGACCCAAACATCATCACAACCCGCTCCCTTTGACGTTCACCAAACCTCTTCGAATGCACCGGTGGTGGAACAGTCACGAGCTTCGGAACATCAGAATCACAGAATATGTAATTGGACTGGAAGAATCCGATGAGCTATGAAGCTCTTCGTTAACAGATGCCCAGAAGAGGCACGGGGTCAGATCGTTCCGACAACACGATCGGAGTGCACAGCAAGAGGCCGAAGCTCACATCTCCTTCATGAATGGAATATGAAAGACGCGAGTCACAGGCGTGAGATCGTGGCCATGCAACCCAAAGCTATGGACCATAGAGGAAACACATAGAGATACACAGGGATACATAGAAACCCGTAGAGATACACAGAGACCCATAGAAACCCAGAGAGACACATAGAGATACACAGAGACACATAAAAACTCAGAGAGACACAGAGACACATAGAGATACATAGAGACACATAGAGATACACAGAGATACTTAGAAACCCACAGAGACACATCGAGATACATAGAAATACATAGAGACACACAGAGACACATATAAATACATAGAGACACATAGAGATGCATAGAGACTTAGAGAGATGCATAGAGATACATAGAGCCACACTGAGACCCATCGAAACCCACAGAGACACAGAGGCACATAGAGATACATAGAGACACATAGAAACCCACAGAGACACATAGAGACCCACAGAAACCCACAGAGATACGTAGAGACACACAGAGATCCACAGAGATACATAGAGATACTCAGAGATACATTAAAGACACGAGCCACAGCGATGAGATTGTAGCCATGCAACCCACAACTATTGACCCCACAGTGAACTCACAGTGCGGTCTGCGCGCTCCTTTAACGGAGGAGGAGGAAGAACAGCGACATGACACGAACTCTCTCTCTCTCTCTCTGCTGAAGCTCCTGCACCGTATAGCTGCTACCACCATGATCATCATCATCCTGGGCGAGTGTGAACTCGTCTACGATCGCACCGAGCGGTCGAGTCAAAGTGTATCTCCTACCTTTTCCAAGGCGACGTGGCACAGAGGTGGAAGCTAAATGCCCAGGCGCCTTCCGTCAGCCGTGGCTTGAGCGAGCAATTGCAGGGCTGCGCCTTAACCTTGTGGGTTGGGCGGGGGGGTTGTCAAACACCCCTTGACATCACCGGGGACGAGAACGCCGATGGTCCGATGGGGCTCGTCTCTTGCGGCTCGTTCCAGCGCGCTGTTAAAACCCGACCCCGGTTCACGTGAAACGAAACTTCTCTCCCGTGCACCGATAGCACCCCGATGTCAACACCAGCAGCAGTGGCAGCAGCAGTTAATAGCAATAGGAACATCAGTAGGAGCAGCAGCAGCAGCGACTGTAACAGCAGGTAATAGGAGCAGCAGTCGTAGCAGATATATAGCAGCAGCAATTGTAGCGGCAGTACAAACAGCAGCAGTAGTAGCTATAAAGCAGCAGTAGTAGCAGTAGCAGCAGTAGTAGCGGCAGTCAAAACAGCAGCAGTAGTAGCTAGAGCAGCAGCAGTTGTAGCAGCAATACAAACAGCAGCAGTAGTAACTATAGAGCAGCAGTAGCAGCAGTACAAACAGCAGCAGTAGTAGCTATAGAGCAGCAGTAGCAGCATCAGCAATAGCTAGAGCATCAGTCGCGGCAGTACAAACAGCAGCAGTAGTAGCTAGAGCAGCAGCAGCAGTAGCAGCAGCAGTAGTAGCGGCAGTACAAACAGCAGCAGTAGTAGCTCGAGCAGCAGTAGCAGCAGTTGTAGCGGCAGTAAAAACAGCAGCAGTAGCAAGAGCTGCTGTAACAACAGCCTCAGCGGCAGCAGTAATAGCAGGAGCAGCAGTCGCAGGAGCGAAAGTGACAGCAGCAATAGCCACAGCAGCGGTAGCAGCAGTTTCTACAACAGCAGCGAAAGCTGCAGCAGTTAGCGACAGCTGCACGTGCAACAGCAGCAGCAGTAGGAGCTAGAGCAGCAGTAGCAGCAGTTGTAGCAACAGTAAAAACAGCAGCAGTAGTAGCTATAGAGCAGCAGCAGTAGCAGCAGTTGTCGCGGCAGTAAAAACAACAGCAGTAGTAGATATAGAGCAGCAGCAGTAGCAGTAGTAGCAGTTGCAGCGGCAGTCAAAACAGCAGCAGTAGTAGCTAGAGCAGCAGTAGCAGCAGTTGTAGCGGCAGTACAAACAGCAGCAGTAGCAGCAGTTGTAGCAGCAGTACAAAACAGCAGCAGTAGCAGCAGTTTCTACAACAGCAGCGTAATCTGCAGCAGTTAGCGACAACTGCACGTGCAACAACAGCATCCGTAGTAGCTAGAGCAGCAGTAGCAGCAGTTGTTGCGGCAGTACAAACAGCAGCAGTAAGTAGCAGTTGTAGCGGCAGTACAAAACAGCAGCAGGAGCAGCAGTTTCTACAACAGCAGCGTAATCTGCAGCAGTTATCGACAACTGCACGTGCAACAACAGCATCCGTAGTAGCTAGAGCAGCAGTAGCAGCGGTTGTTGTGGCAGTACAAAACAGCAGCAGAAGTAGCAGCAGTTGTAGCGGCAGTACAAAACAGCAGCGGTAGCAGCAGTTTCTACAACAGCAGCGTAATCTGCAGCAGTTATCGACAGCTGCACGTGCAACAACAGCAGTAGCAGCTGCAGTATGAATGCATCTCGCTGTCGGGGCACCGTAGTGGAGGCAGCAGCCCCCGCTGCTGGAGTTGTGTTGTTGTTGGCAGCAGTTGCGGCGATTTTTGCTTTCGCGAAATAACTTCGGAGGCGCCACGCGGAGTCGAGGACTCGGAAGGTCCCC